TTAATGCTCATTAAAGGTTACATCCATTGTGCCCATGAACTTTTTTATAGAGGATGACAATGTTTACACATTTTTTTCACATTACAGTATCTAACAAATACATATTTTACATGCCTTACTTTTTAATGACACAATTTGAGTTTAATCTAAAATTTCTCAAATATTAAGCAAGTTTTGGCATCTATCAGTTCATTTAAATTTATGATGTCTATATTTAATTTATATAAGTTGTAGGCAACACTCTATTTGGGCTGACTAATAAATAAACATTGATCAATAATAAATTTTATGTAGATATTATTGTTACAAAATGGACTAATAATTATCAAATTATGCTTTTAGCTTTCAACTAATGTGCATCTTTAACTATAATTCTATCTAAATAATTAATATTTCCATACCCTTCAATTTATCAGCTCGAAATAAAACTTTTCCGCTATAAAATCTTTCAATAAAGACATCTGCTTCTATTTGGTCATGTGTCTTGAATAACCAAAGTTCAAGTGCTATTTATTAGTTGTCCACTAGAGATTCATTTGACACCAATTAAGTTTGAGTTTGGGAAACATAATCATTTGGATTTAGAAACTCTAAGATCTGATTTATCAAATCAAATAATTTATTTGATGTATTCAGTACAATATGCCCAATCATTTATTTTCCATAGATAGGATTAAGTCCGAATCTTTATTTTCCTAGGGAGTTCATTTGTTTCCCTATAAAAATATTTAATTTCCATTGACTGCCTCACATTTTTAAGTATGCAAACTCAAGATTAAAGTATTTTTCCTTTTATAGAAAATCATTTTCTCTAGGTACATGATATTCACCCATTAATCATTGATTTTAAGGATTTAAAAGTTAATTCTTTATGTGAATCAACTATCTCTTCATCCCTCTCATTTCAGCTCTTTCTAGTTATAATGTGATGATAATTCATCAATAGTAGATAAAAGATTTTTACTTTAATTCTAAATCTATTCCATTTTTCTGCTGATCTATTCTAGTGTAAGACATACATACATACTCTTTATCAAAATTCACTTAATCTTCACTCTTAATCACTACTAATGTTATTGGTTTTCTATTTTACTATCTTTTTTTTCATCTTAGGACAATGCCTTTTAGTGTCCAGCTCTGTTAGACTCATACTTGACATCTTCTTCTATATTAAAGGTGGTAGATGATTTTGGTTTTCTTCTAATGAGTGATCTTGATTTTCATCTTCATTTATCATTGAATATCCTTTTAAATACTCTTTTTAATTTTCTTGGATAAAAATACTATATCATCTTTTGTGTTGTTTCTTGAACCTAAATAATTCTTATTTGAATTACTTACAATACTGTTTTTCTTTTCTTCTTATTTGTCTAACTTCAAAGATTATATATGATCTCTAATTAGAAAATTGATTAGGCATCTTTCTTAACTGTTGACCTCTGACCCAAATCACAACTGGTTAAAAATATATCTTTGAAGCATAATATGAAAGATAAATATTTATTCATTGAACTTCATATCTATTGGTGATTATCTATTTCCATAAGATTCTCATATGCTCCAAAAATTTAAGTATGATAAAATTGTTTAATACAACTATTAGAATGGATCTGAAGGCACAATCTCGATTTAAAATCTTTTAATCAATATTTCAGTTGAATTTAAAAATGAGATGAACGTAGAAAGAGAAATATGGTGAATTACTTCGTTTATTATGAAGTGTACTGATCATAGAATGCAATATAAAAATTATGGAAACTTAACTAGATCATGCAAAAAGGTCTGAATAGCTGCACAATAATTAAGTTATGTTTGAAAGTTTTAGTTAAGGGTCTTTACTCACATAAACCTCACAATATTATTTTTAGGTATATCTAGTTGTCAAGGTAATATGATTTTTTTTTTCCACTCAATCAATTCTAGATAATTTTTCATGAACTTTTTTTAACATATCACTAGCAAAACGTTAAATTTCACATACCCTGACTTTTTTTGCACATCTTAATTTCTTTCTTATGAAATTAAACTCATGTATGAGAAATTATTTGGTAAAAAGTTTAGCCAAAAAAATTGCAATGATGATATTGGTTAAAATGATGTTTAATATGATTAGATCTAGAGAAAATAATAGTAATCTTTGCTAAATTAATACACAAGTGATACAACTTAGAGCTTGGATCTGGTCTATAGAAATTCCATGGCCTTATAGTTGGGACTTAAACCCGTATGATTTATAGATAAAAAAATTAAGGAGCTACATATTTTATTAATGACTACTTATTTAATAGATGACTAAGTCACTAGACATGCTCGAAGAAAAATAATTCTTGCACATTTCTTAAAATGTGACATTTTGTATGTACCTTCTCAAACTTTGTTGATGTGACTTTTTTATTTTTATTTTTCTCAATTTCAGTCAATTCTACTTGTTGACAAATAATGTGCACTTGTCATTGTGTTTAAATGGCTATTATCTAATAATATTTATAACTAAGACTTAATAAAATATTATTTTATATGTAAGTCTCAGGTAGAACATAAGAAGATTGATTAATCTGTCATGAAAAACTAATTTAGTTTATATAGAGAGAGATTTTAATATTTTATCATTATTGAATAGAAATAATAAAATAGAAGGGTGAGGTGAGAAAAAGAAGGGGAGTAGAAACAGGAAGGAAGAAAAGAGAGAGAGAAGGGAGAGAGAGAGAGAGATTGATGAAGAGAGAGAGAGATCAATGGAGAAGAGAGAAGATGATAATAAAGAAAGAGAGAAACACAATTAAGCCGTTTTCACACAGACCATGATTGTTGGATGAATGTGTGCTTGAGAATTCACACACATGACATAAGGTCAGTCATGAATGTCTCCACCTTATTTTAATAGTTCAATGCTTATAAATCAGCATTTAATCTCATTAATTTAACATTTTAAAATAAAAATATAATTATTATTTGTAGAATGTTGGGAACATGAATATGTTAAAATTTGACTACGTAATCAATAGAAGACAAGTTTGACATAATCTTAGTTTGGTCTCAAATGAGTTTTAAAGGATTTTAAAAAGGAATAGAGATCATTCATCAAGTTTTGAATTAGTTATATTCATTTCAATCGAAAGATATATGAAACGAAAATAATTACCATAAAATATAAATAAATATTGAAAGCATGTAAATAAATAATAAAAATAGAAAATAAATTATTATTCAAATTTAACTTGTTCTTGGGCAACTAAAGATACTAATGTGGCAGCTTAGTTTTGTCTAGATGTGTCACACTATGTTAGAAGTATCATCCGAAAATACTATGCCACTTGTTAGAGAAATCTATCGAAAAGTGGGGGTCAACCATGCTGTCCATGTGATTTGATAGAGAAGTGAAGAGCTAACCACTTGCTTGAGACCTTGAGTGTAGTTGGGAGAGGATGGAATGAGCATGCCAATTGTCGAAGGCATTGATTATGTGAAGGGAAAGAAGAGCGGATTTTGTATTCGCAATTGTCATCCAGATTTATAAATAATCGATCATGTCTATTTTGCTAGACAATAATCAATTTTTGTCTTTATATCTCTAATGGTGATACATGTTAGAACTTAAGTTCTTAGTATCATGGCACTTTGCAAGCTCCTAAATCAGATGTACTTAGTCACATGCCACTAAGTGACACCAGATTAACTTGCCATGAACTGTTACTGATTGAGAACTTAAGTCCTTGGTACTGTAGTACTTTGCTAGCCATCAGATCATCGTTTATGGTCACATGTGTGTTGAGTGACGTCAAATTCGCAAACTACCAATGGATTGCTTTATGCTTCGAGTATCGTGATAGTTTGTCAGTTGCAAGATCTAGCTTATCTAGTACTATGGCCGACTAAGCATTGCCAGATCACATTGTGCTCTAGATGGCTGCCCTAAAACACATGAGAAAATTTAGTCCCACATTAGAATTATTTCAATGATTGAACAATGTTACAATCTTTCAATAGAGATCTCTTCTCTTGAAATAAAATAATACATAAGACCATCTTAGGAGAAAGTAAAAAAGTAGTATGCCCTCGCACACACACATGTGCACAATATTCCTTGCTCCACAATTGGTTGGCCACTAAGACGTGGCAAGAGAGTGACACACACATGCGTGAAGCAAGTCCTTCATCACTCAAGCCTATCTCATAGCTCCCCTAGGTCTAGGTCTACTCACTCGAGAGCAACACGCCTTCGAGTCAGTAGGCATTGATATTTTTATATTTTATTCTTTTATTTTATAATAATAAAAAATATATTAAATCTTTGAACCTCTAACTTTAAATATTAATAATATATTCATATATTTATCTTGCAAGTTAACACATGAAAATAAAATAATAAAACTAGTTAAAACATAAAAAACGAATTTTAGTAATAGATATATCCTTCAAATCTATTATTAATAAATTTACATCATCTCTAATTCTATGCTCATAAGGGTTTTTTTGAAATTTTACATGAGCTGGTTCTTCAACAAGCTAGTATAGTATGATACATTTGCCTTTAAATGATCTTATTACCAAAGAAAATTTACCTAAGAGCCATAGATCAGCATTTCTGTTGGTCTATCTTGAATGATATTTCAAAAATAAAACTATCATACATGCCGTAAAATATATTTTTATTAAAGACGACTTTATTGTCTCTTTAGTTTTATCCTTTTGTGATTTAATCATTATCAATTTTCTTTCTATTTTTGTAAAATTTAGGTCAACAAATTGGATCAAATACGTTTAAAATAGGGGGGGATTAGTCCGCCCGATTTCGTGGAATGTGTATACAAATGGAATATTGACCATTATGATGTCTTCTATTCTAGAGAGAGAACCAGATGATGAGAACCATTAATGGATACAAGTTCAGGAGGAGATGTATGGATTCTTTTCCCGTAATTAGTCGATGAAGCACTTAGACCGATCCAAAGAGCACAGAAGGAGAATCTGAAGGATCTCCTCTACCGTTAATCTGGCGATCAGAGGCCGACGACCAGCGCCCCCGAGAGGAGCGCCACGACTGCGGGCAGCCGAGAAATGGCGGCGCCTGAAGCGCTGCCGCCGACGTTGAATTCTGGAAAGTTCCCGCCGTCCTGGGGGGGGACTGGCGCCGCTGCCGGCGGGTCGTCGGCACCGACTTGGACGTGCAACCTCATTCCCCCGAAGCAGAGGAAAGGCAAGGGGCAGATGAAGTACTTGTGGCCCGTTGTCGTGATGGTGATCTCTGTGCTTCCTCCGTTTCCCGTCTGGATGGCGTTGGCGGTGCTGCAGTTGTAGAAGCCCTCCATGTTCACCTCCGCCACGCTGTAGTACGACGAGTACTGGAAAGCTGCCGCTCATCTTTCGTCAGCTAGATAGATACATAGACTGACAGACAGATAGATAGATAGATAGAGCGAGAGAGAGAGAGAGAGAGAGAGAGAGATGGGAAGTACTCACAGAGAACGTCGCCGATGGCGAAGGTCTTGTTGAGGGGCCACTTGTCGAGGTCGGCGCTGATGTCCCACCCGGCGCTGTCGCCGACGGTGTACGTGGTGGCGGCGGCGCCGCCGGGGAAGACGCAGAGAGCGGCGAGCGCGAGGGCGACGACAGGCCGAAGGGAGCACATTGCAGAAGGGCCCATGGGAAGCTTTACGGGCTGCGAGAGGATGCCCTACACTGAAATCTTATACGGTCGATGTGGCAGGTTTCAGTCGGAGAAGTAGATATCCTAACTCCGCTGCGCTATCTGATGAGGACGACCCATCTCACTTCTCAATTCTTCTGAAATATTCAATGTAAACCCTAATGGAGATCTCCGCTGTAGGCCCGTTGCGGCGGTCGGTGGGGCTGGTCTCCACGTTAGTTTAGTTGGAGCAGCGGAAACTAAGAGCCGAAGGTTGCTAGTTCTACCTACGCCAATGGATTCGCTCGGAGGAGATGGTCTGGAATCTGGAGAAAGAAGCCAAAGGCCCACACGTTGGTCCTCCCCCTCCATTTTCTCACTCCGTTGACCTTCTCAACCGAGCTATTTATGACGTCATATGACTGAAATGCTCAATCAAGAAGGCCTTGCGACGGTATCGCCGACGTCGACCGTCTTGTAACGAAGCTCAGTTGCCGGAGTCCATCCTGCTGTTCTGGGAGAGGGAGAGAGGGAGGAAGAGAGAGAGTGGGGAATGACGTGAGTGATCTTCTAGGTCGACCCATCTAAGCTTGGACCAGACCCACTAAGGATTTAACCTAATTAATTTCCTTTCAATACAGGATTTTTGATGGGTAAGACAAGAAAATATTCGGCAATTATAATTAATAACTAAGCTCTTCATAGGCTTTTACTACAGGAATTGATATGAACCCTTTGAGATATAATCAATCTCGATGTGAACATTGGTGTTCAACTCTAGTTAATTTTAATTGTCAACCCAAAATATTTTTGGTGGCTTCCCTAAAACAAACTCAGCGAAATTGCCAAGAAAAATGAAGACAGACTATCGAGAGGGGCACATCTCCGCGAGCCTACTGGTGTATGAACCCAGCAAAGGTAGAAGAAAGATGAAAAATCAGAAGCCAGGGGTGAGATGATGGCCGTCATCTTGTCCATCTTCTTCTGCTCCTACGGCGTTCAATAAGCTCAGAGTTATTACCATGGCCTCTAGAGAATTTTTCGGGAGAAACTTTCAAGTCCTCCACGAGAATCTGGCGTAGCTTCTCATTCTCTTCAATCAGCTCGTCGATGGTCTTCTGGTGTTTCAGCAGCTGCATGTATAAAATATAAAAAAACAGAGAAGATCATTACATGAAAAAGCGCAAGAGTTAATTTATTCCACTGTTCCAACTTGAATGAGATAATCACTCTTCCAATTGTTCAAGAGCTAAACAAGATACGGAGAGTTAATTCAATACAAATAGTGGCAAATTGAACGAGCTAATTATTCTGGCAAATATTCAAGAGCTATAATCTCGATATGGCAAGCTAAGTCAACCCAGATAGCCCCAAGATTGAATGAGCTAATTGTTCTGACAATTATTTGAGGGAGATTATTCAACGAAAATACTCCCAAATTCGATATGAATGAGGTGATTATTTCAGAGCTAATCTCGACATGGAGAGCTGATTCAATCCACAAAGTCTCGAATTGAATGAGATAATTATCCCACCAACCATTTAATCCAAATACCCCCAACTTGAATGATATGATTAAACCATGGAGTTATAAAAATGCGTGGGCCTACTGAAAAGGTTACTCATTGATTTGGAATTGGATGGGCCGATTCACTCATCATACTCTTAGTCAGCACAAATATTTTCCATATTGCATCGGAAAATGATTTGAAATGGTGATAATCTTAGCAAAAGAAACGTATCAAGGGTGTGAGAAGCATATGATTCGTATACCATCTTGCCACCACAAGTGACTGATTACTAATTTGTCAAAAGGAAAAACAAGAAGACCTAAACTGCCTCACCATTTGTAGGATATTATTTTCAGATCGCAATTTCCTGACCTACATAAAAATAAGAAACAAGAACAGGCGACGACGTCAAAGAAAGGCAAAGTTTGATACGAAGATCAGATAATATAAAATGCATTAGCCATGAACTTCTATGAAAATACACAAATTAGAAGGTTGAAATATTATTCATCATTTTAAAAGGTGAGGAAAATAGTTACGGGTTTAGAAAATTAAAGGAGATAAGCACCCTCTACTTTGAATACTTGTCCCTTGGATTCAAGGTCCAACAGCCAGAATGATCTTGAAAAACAAAAGAAGCAGGTTACTGGGTTCCACGAGAGCATACCACAACCAAAATAAGACCACATATTAAGTCAGTGATGTTTGTTTCCAAGGAAAAGCATATAATTTGCAGAAAAAGAGGCGTGTAAAAGGTGGATCTTCACAAGCCCTTTTCAGCAATTACGTATTGACAAGTCTGGTAATCCTAAAACCCAAATCACATAAGTATATTCCATGTTTCTAAGAAGCTATGTTAGATCAAAGATTGGACAAAACACATAACTAAGCGGATACTGCGTTTTTTATAAAGAAAGCTTGTGCTTTTAGAGAAAAAATAGTTCGGAAAAAGTAGCTCCGTTTGCAAGCCCTTATCATGAGCAATGTGTTGACTGATCTTGGTGGAGTCTAAAACCTTAAAGAAAATAAAATCAGAGAAACCGATTCCATGATTCTAAAATGCCATGTAAGATCAACACCAAGACGGCACTGAATTAAGTGGGCGGGTGCTATTCATTTCTGCGGAAAGGCAGCGTTTTAGAGGAAAGTATGAGCCACATTGGAAGCAGATTTTAGGAACCTTAACATCAATAACCTTACTCAAATCCTGGTGAATCAATCGTGCCAAAGCAAGATTTTCAGAAAGGATGGAGTTACTGTATCTGGAACATATTTGATGGCGCATATTAACTGAAATATTTGCACATACTAACCAAAACTCTTCCTTCATTTTGAATGAAACGGGTACACATTAGGGGTAAATAGACTTGATAACACATGCTTGTGGTCGAATTACCAGTTCATCAATCTCTGCTTGCTCTTCTTCCTTGAAAATTGGACTCTGTAAGAAGCTGTTGATTACCCTTTCAGTGCGAGTTTCACTGGTCATTTCTGACGAACCTGCTTTCAGTTCCTGAGACCCACGAAACAAATTTAGGCTGGAACTTCTTTCACTTTCCTGGATAGAAGAGGGAATTTTTATTGGCTCAGTTGTAAATTGCAAGACATTTCCAATGGATGTTCCTGGGTTTCCATTGAAGCCTGGGCTTAGTGTGTCTGTGCTTTTTTGTTCGGATCCAGTGATGGAAGCTTGAAGAGCAGGTAGCCCAGGTATCGTTCCAAATTTTGTGAGGATCTTTCCAATTACTACCTGGAAGCATGAAGGTGAATCGTCAATGAACGTAGATTGAGGAGGGGAGCGGTAGAGAACATAAATTGGAACAAGAAACATACTCCAACAAATGACTGAAGTTTGTGAACCACTCCAGGCTTCAATGTAATTCCTGCCGCAACATAAGATCTATCTCCATGATCGTGCAAGAAAGAGAGGGAAGAGAGAGGAGAGAGAGATAGAATATTTGACTGAATTAGTGTAAATGAGCTTTTGTGAGGTGCCCATAAACTCAAGACGTTATGTACCTCAGCTTTAGTATTGGATATAGGTTCACTTTTCTTGAGAAACAAATTATTATTATAATTTCGTGCCCAATCAGATACAAAATATTTTATATCCTTCTCAAAAAATTAAAGAGCAGAGGAAAATTGCACTTCAGATTGACTGATATTTATCTTATGAGCAGGAGAGAAGACCATAGTTACCATAGTGCGATCTCATCAAATAACTACGAAGACTTGGGCTAATTTCCTTTTTATATAACACTAAAAATCGGATATACATACAGAGACTTTAAACAAACATGATTTGGATGAACAACCAATTATAGGATGAAATTTCGAAAGTAATCTAATAACAGTTGCCAGACATGAACTGGAAACGTTAGCTTGGAAGGCTGTTTTAGTCAATTCTCGCTGATCACTTAAATGCCCTAATTCAAAACTGACCATGAAACTTCTATTTCATTAGTTTCTTTTTTAAGAAAACTTTTCAGCATGTTGAAGTACTGAACAGATGGGAGATACTGAGCATTCAAGAAGGTACATCAACTTCCTTCATCTTCTCTTGTTTGCACGAGGAATGAACCTCATAGAAGTGGATGAGGGCACTGGTTTCATGGACTAAAAGGGTCACTACGCTGAAATTACATGCCAGTTGCATGTTTTACTTACCGTTTTTCAGCAGTTTAGTTTAATGTTCCTGAACCAAAAAAAATTTAGAGACTCGTTGAAACAAGAATTAAAACATTTTTGTCTTTGTCAATGACTATCTGATTCATGACTCGAATCATTCACATTTATTAACGTTTTTATTCAATTAAATAGAACGAAAAGACCCACAAATCACTTGAATCATGTTAGAAGCTTTTCTGCCATTACTAACAAAGCCAGTAATCCTTAAACTATCAAAGTCATTGACTGATGATGTGATCTTTATTACTCGGCTCTTCCTGTTACAGACCAAAAGTCAACCATTAGAGACTAAAACTCACATAAGTTCACACTAAAATCTGGTCAACTGTAAAAGTAAAATAATAAGCTAGACCTAGTTTAGATTTTTTGGGTATAATTGCCACTTGTGTTCATTGAGTCCATTATTTTCCTTTTCCTATTGGAATGATAGAAGTTATGAACTTCATAAAAAAAAAAAATCACTAGACATGACTTAAGCATTCAATGAGCTAAAATCAATATTTTAATAAGGGCTAAATTAAAAAAAATGAAAAAACGTAAACAGAATAATGGAAGCTTTATGAGCAAAGACAATGCCAAATTTTTGCATTATTATTTTAAAATCTGCTAGGACGCAGAGACCACATTGCAAAATATCAATCATGCAAGTACCACGAATTTCACAAATTCAGAATGTAATTAACAAACAACTTAAAATATTTAGAAAAAATGATAAAAAGTGAATTACAGAGAATAGGAAATTAAGATCTGCAATGCCCAGAAGCATGTATACCTACTCCAAAACCATGGCCAATACCAACACCACACCCAATACCAGCCTCAATATTTTTAACTCCGAACCGTCTCAGCTGAAATAATAAATTTGATTACGAAAGAGTTTTATAAGTCAGATTCCGCAGTTCGAAACTAGGCTTAATATAATAAAAAAAAGGAAAAAATACTCACGTTGCTATTTACATGTCTTCCTGCACCAGAGAAAACATCCATAGCACCTCGAGTAGCAGATAAAACTTGTTGGAATGCTGGAATCGCACCTGATGATGCAAGTAAACCAAAGCTTACCAATAAAATCAAATAGTTTCATATAAACTATATTTGGTTTTACCATCACATTTATCAAATTTTTAGAGGAAGAGACACCTTGAACTGTGTCCACTGCCAAGGACATATCATAAAAACGACAGTTGTTATAAAATTATTAGATATTTATTAAGAATGATTGTGAGAAAAACTCTGTAGCTTCCTAGTTGTTTCACAGAGAACGACTGGAAACTACAACCTCGTAACATTTTGCAGCAAGCCTAAATGAAAACGGGTAGTCAAATGCCTATCAGTCTCCTTAAATGACTGAAAGGCGAAAGGATTCAGCGGCATATTACATGGTAAACCTTTTCTGTACTAAGGTATTTATCGTCTCTCAGTCAATCTGCCACAGAATCCAAGATGAGAAAAGCAAGAACACGTTAAAAGGATTGATGAAACACAAGTGGTTTGGACTGAGAATTTCCCAAAAGAAGTATACAAATATATATAAGCAATATCTTCCTGCCTGTGAAATAACTGAAACAGTTTCCATTAAACGAAGAAAAATATTCGAAGGCAGTGGAGAAAACCTATCTTCAGCCTCAATGAGAATATGCCTTAATTTTTTCATTAAGGGCAAAATTTACAGCTACCCAGAAAGTGGAAAACTTATATTTCATCACAAATACAGACAGGAGGCATTATCCACACACGACTAACTCCTAAGTCATTTGAGGAAAAACCCGAGAAATCCATTCATATATGCAAATATGCAGTCTGAATGACTCCGAGAAGAACACTAGCACTATCACTTTAGGCCGATGGGGGAGAGGAGGATACCTTACCCAAGTAAATGGGCTTCCCAACACCGATACCAACCCCGCAGCCAACGCCGACTCCGGTAAATATCTGGAGCACCTTAAAGCTGAAGGGATTCTCCAGCTTCCAGCTTTCCCCATCGGCGCTATCACCCCCATAGCTACCGGAAAACTTGGTTGCGCTGCTCTCCATCCTTGACGGGCGTGGGCGTCGACAGGCGCAGCCCCAGGTGCGGAAGGGGAGGAGGATTCCACAGCGGGCGGTAGGGAGGTGGAGGTGGTCTCCTCCCCCTTCCAGCGGACGAAAGACAGTTGACAGAGCTGAGAGTTCCAGGTGATTAAGTTAATCTGGTTTTCGCTTCTCGTAAACGGGCCAGCTGACTGCTGGGTCCAGCTGATTTACAGGCTACGCCTTGCCATCCGAATATCGGTGAACTTTGACCCCGAGGGTTAATAAAATCTAGAAATCATCTTTGCAGAAATAATAGAATCATAATCTTTGATGACCTGTGATGACGTTGAAGCTTATGATTTTTTGATGATGGGTTTGAGTGCACTCTCCTTCTTGGTTTTCTCAGATGTTGAGAAAAGTTTGGGATAATCTTTTATTAAACTCTATACTAATTATACTAGTTTCGTTGCTATTTTTCCCATAAATTGTTCACCTACTATGTTTAGAGAGCCCTTATCTCTGAGTTTACACTTTCTTGATTTGATTGGTTATGATCATGAAATTGATAGGAAAACAATGAATTATATGAACCTTAATTGTGAAAAGAGGTAATAAATAATGAAAAATAATAAAGTGTGTGATCGTTAAAAAAGCTTATATTTTTAGAAAAGAAGATTAAACTCTTTTTTTTAATATGTTTGTTGGAATTTCATGCAGCATGGACATTTTCTTTGCAGGATTCGATCCTTCACATTCCATAGTTTCGCTATGTATGTAATTAGATGACTGGTGACCATTTTATTTGCACAGTATGAGTCAAAACCAACTGGTGGTTCAAAATTTGCTTCGAATTTCTCAAAGCTATTGGAAACCTATCTTATGGTTGACTTGCTCAAACAAGTGATTATACTTTTACAATGAATATGTAAGGTCAACATCCTGTTGGGGATCTGTGTATATCAATCAAACTGGGTCACGAATACATTTTTAAGGCAGTCAATGGTGAGGTCGTCTTTTAGGTTTATAATAAATAGTTTGGTCGTTTGGAAGATGCATTCAGGAACAAGATATTGTATATGAGTCTCCAAAGTCAACGTCTCATAATAGCTCTACCTACACCAACGCACCCATCTGGGAATTAATATGATAGTCAATCAAAAGAATATTTTTTTAAAAAGATTTTATGCGAAACAGATGACCCTCTCCGAGGCAGATTAATGTTTTCAAATTAATAGTTTTTTCGTTAAGGTTTGAAATTCTCCAAGTTGCAAGCCGTTCGTTTTATTGTGAACAATCAGAGTTCTACCGCATATTTAAATCAGTGTAGACGATAATTCCTAGGACACACTCGTCTACGTAGACAAATACACCACACAACGAAGCCACTAAATACAGGAAGCGGGCACGCCATGCAGACTCTCGTCTACTCTTCCTTCTTGGGGAAGGTGACGCTGACCATCGCTCGCCCTCCGCCGTCCACCGCCGGCATTACGACCACCAGCGGCCGGTCCGTCGCCGGGACGAGGTGCCACGATACCATCACCGGCTTGTTTCCCTTGGTGAGACCCAGTTCGCCGCCGCGGAGCCAGTCGCCGACGAAGTTCGAGAACCCCTTTGAGACCCCACCGGAGGGCGGCGGCGCCTCCTCCTCTTCCTTCGCGGAGCACTCCACCACCTTGAGCTCTGCCATGCGATCGGCCTCCGTGATAATCAGCGAGAATCCCGCCGGCACAGCCTCTTCCGGCCTCTCCCCTACCCTCCGCGCCGCCTCCACGAAGGCGGCGGCGTTGGTGGCATCGCCTCCGTCGAAGAGGACGGTACGGGGGGCGCTGCCGCCGCCGCCGGTGGCGATGGCCGTGGACTTAAGATACTTGCTTCGACCTGGCCTCCTAAATGCCCCCAGGTTGAAGATACCGGCGCTAACGAACTGCTTTTGGGCATGCATGGTAGCATGGATTTGGGCCCATTTATGGAGGAAGTTCGATAAGAGAAGTGGGTCCGCCAGGAACAGGCTGCAGCAGAGCCCAATAGAAATCCCGTCGTCCAGAAAGCCCGTCACCTGCGAGGGAGAAGCCATTTATGCTGTTATTGGGCCACCAAAGCCCAACAAAACTTATTTAACCCAGGGAGCCTATTACCTGGATGAAGAACAGAGCCGAAAACTGGGGCTTCTCCTCGTCGACGCCAACCCAATGGGCCAAATGGGCCTCCACCACCTCTCTCTCTGGGGAGGCGAGGAGGTCTGTCATCGTGAAGTCCGCCTTCGCTTGCACCAGCCGCAAGCCCGCGTCGTTCAGCCGCACCTCCAGCCCGCCGCCGTCTCCGTCGTCGCGCCGCCGGATACGACCGGCGATGAGTGGGTCAACGACGAGGGCGGCGGAGAGGGACTCCTTGAGGTGGGCGCTGACCGACCAGGCGTCTTCTAACTCGTCGGCCCGCCGGTAGTAGAGCACCGTCCGGAAGTAGCTCCCGAGGGCAGCGGTACCGCCGATCCGCCGTGCCTTCCCCGGCGGTACCATCTCCCTGGGGGTCACTGACTGGATGCTCTCCACATGGATGTGGCGGAGGGGGGACGGGGTTTCTGCGGCGGAAGCGGGCATGGTGGAAAGTCGGGAGGAGAGAGAAGAGCGGCGGCAGCGGATCCCCCGGGGATGGCCGTTGCGGCGGCGCTGTTTGGCTTATAAGGACGGGCGGTGACGAGGTTAGCTGGCTGGCGTTGAGCTGTGCGGTTATTGACTGTTGAGCTGACTCACCTAACAAAGGCCGGGGGTGGGATATCCTCTCTCTCGCTCTTACCGTCTTTTGAGTACGTGGAATGACGTCATGGGAGGATATATGTGCATGAGGTAAACCGTAGCTCGTCTACTCCTCTTCCGGCGTGACGGTCGCCGTCGCGTCCTCTCTCTCTTTCTTCTCTCTCTCTCTCTCTCTCTCTCTCTCTCTCTCTCTCTCTCTCTCTCTCTGTTTCTTGCTCTCTCTCTCTCTCTCTTTCTTCCTCTCTCTCTCTCTCTCTCTCTCTCTTTCTTGCTCTCTCTCTCTCTCTCTCTCTTTCTTCTCTCTCTCTCTCTCTCTCTCTCTCTCTTTCTTCTCTCTCTCTCTCTCTTTCTTGCTCTCTCTCTCTCTCTCCTCTCTCTCTCTTTCTCTCTCTCTCTCTCTCTCTCTCTCTCTTTCTTCCTCTCTCTCTCTCTCTCTCTCTTTCTTCCTCTCTCTCTCTCTCTCTCTTTCTTGCTCTCTCTCTCTCTCTCTCTTTCTTCCTCTCTCTCTCTCTCTCTTTCTTCCTCTCTCTCTCTCTCTCTCTCTTTCTTGCTCTCTCTCTCTCTCTTTCTCTCTCTCTCTCTCTCTCTTCTTCCTCTCTCTCTCTCTCTCTCTTTCTTCCTCTCTCTCTCTCATTCTTCCCCCCCAACTCTCTCTTTCTCTCCTCTTTTTCTCTCTCTGCCTCTCTCTTTCTTTCTCCTCCCTCCTCTCTCTCCTTCTCCCGCTCCCTCTCTCTCTCTTTCTCCCCTCCTCTTTCTCTCTCCCTATCCCTCTCCCTTTCTCCCTTCCCCCCCTCTCTCCCCTTCTCTTCCTCCCTCCCTCTCTCTCTCGCTCAATTTCTCATGTGGTTGACCAACACCGCAACGGTCGGCGACTTTCATCGAAGAGTTGGAAGATTCGACCACATTTAATTTTTTATATTCAATAAGAATTACTCTGTCATTATTATTACTACAAATACCAGGGTCATTTTGTCATTCAATTATTTAGGATTTTAAACCAAAATTTTCATAATTTTTGAACCTCAACTTATCTAAACGACAATAGTCGAATAAAATAACTCGTATGAACATTTTTGGTAACTTTTAAAAACTGACCTCGTAAATCTGAATTCATTATTTAATAAAATACGTGAAATGTATGATAACTTTTTTATATGAATGAAAAGAACGGGGACGTCATAATAAAAATAGATAAAATATATCTTACTTCATTATTTTTTCAAATTATTTTCAAATTTGATCAATTTCCTTAAAAAATAATTAACCTATTTTAAAATGCAAATTCATTATTTGTAAATTTTATAAACATATTTGTATCTTTAATACTATTTTAGGCAGTCAAGTGTGCCGGAGGACATTGCATCCTATCGTGTTCCGGCGCCTCGTCTGCAAGAAACGTTGTCCACACGAGACCTGACCGCTGTCAGCCACTGGTGGCGGAGAGCCCCATCTCGGCGGCGCTCCGCCGCTCATTACGGGCACCTGCGGTGAGATGGCTGCCGCCGCTGCTGCCCAGCAAGCTCTGTCCTCATCCTCCGCCGCCGTCTCTTCTGGCCTCCTCCCCCTATCGAGGCTGCCGCTCGAACTCTGCTGCAGTTGCCGCAGGAAGCGGGGATCTCCCAGCAGGTATAGCCGGCGATGGCGACGGTGTGGACGACGGCGGTGGCTCCCCTGCGCCTTCTCAGGAATCCCCGGCGGAGGGCGGCGCCGGTCTCGTCGATCATCGCCGGAAGCGGAGTCCGTGAGGAGGAGATCGTCGTCGTCGGCGCCGGCATCGCGGGACTCGCCACCGCCGTCTCCCTCTCCCGGTAGGGCCCCGATCTCGAGATCCATGGCCGTCCTAACCCTATGTTTTCCTCACTCAGCATCTGCATCGGTCTCTTACAGTCTCGGCGTGCGGTCGCTGGTGCTCGAGCAGGGGGACTCTCTCCGCGCAGGCGGCACATCTCTCACGCTCTTCAAGAATGCCTGGCGCGTCCTGGATGCTCTAGGCGTGGGGCAGGATCTCCGGCGGGAATTCCTCGAGATCGAAGGGTAAGATCTCCGGCGGCGCTTCCACCGTCGGTACTTTCAGATTTCCCCCAAATAGAAAACATGTTGATGGCCTCAGTTCTCTGCAGGCTGGCGATGAGGTCGACGGAGGGGAAGCTTCTGCGGTATTTCACCTTCAAAGATGTCGATCCGAGGTAAAGACTTCAGAGATCCTTTCTCGTCTGTTTCGATTGAAGATGGCAGGCTGGATCTGGATTCAAAAACCATGGCTTCTCTCAGCCAAGAGGTCCGGGCTGTGGAGAGGAGGGTGCTCTTGGAGACTCTCGCCAGTCGCCTGCCGGCTGATTCAATCAGCTTCTCTTCAAGGTTGAAGTCGATATCAAAGGGAGAAACCATGGGAACCCTGCTAGAGCTCGAAGATGGAACCCTAATACACGCCAAGGTAAGCCTTCCGTCCCTGTCGATGGTCAAAGTCTTTTCTTTCAAGCAGTTCGATTATACCTTCCATTTGCGGTGGCATCTTTCATCTGCAATCTTCCTGTTCTGCTCGGCATAGTGTGCTATTTTTTTTCTTCTTCACACTGACGGGATCAAATAAATGCAGCCAGGTGAAGCTAATGTTTACCAAAACCCTCCGAGAATCATAAACTGTCGAGTCTAGTTCAAGTGGATTATAGGATCCTGAACATTAATTCTTCCTTTTAAAACGAGATTTTTTTCAGTTCTTCCCATGAGCAGCAACTGTTCTTCATATGCAGTTTCCAATCTAAGAAATGGGATGCAGATGTTCTTTTGCTCTTGCAATCACCCCACCAGAGTTGGGATCATGATTTATGAAGTTGTGTGTTCATATAAACTGCTAGAATCATAGATGCGGGAAAATTTTGGTTTATTTATTTTCATTTAAAAAAAGTTACGTTGATATGTGTTTATTTATCATCATCATCAGCATCGTTCAGAAAAAAGTTCTCTTTATGGGGATCTTGCAAACATTATGAAATGGGAACACATTTGTCTGCGTTCATCTTGATCATAGAAAACAGTACTCGTGTTGGAAATCTTGGGACCACTTTTACCTTGAGAAATTGCTTCCACAACAGAGGATACTGGCAAATCTTATGCATGATCTTTTCCCCGTTGACTGATGTTCTTGAGCTGGATCAGGTGGTGATTGGCTGTGACGGCGTCCGTTCGCCGGTGGCAAAGTGGTTGGGGTTCTCCGAACCCAGATATGTCGGCCACTGTGCCTTCCGTGGGCTCGGGGTCTACCCCGAAGGCCATAGTCTCGACCCAAAAGTCAACTACGTCTACGGCAGAGGGGTCCGTGCCGGCTACGTTCCTGTCTCCCCCACCAAGGTGTACTGGTTTATCTGCTTCAACAGGCCAGATCCAGGTTCTCCTCCTACATTCCCAGATGAAGAACTGAGGGCTGACTGTCCTGTTATAAAGCCTCTTCTTCTGAGCTGTGGTCAAACTCTGCAGGACCTAGGGTCATTGACCCGTCTGCGCTGAAGAGGGAGGCGGCAGAGATGGTGGTGGGGTGGCCAGCGGAGCTCAGGAACGCCATCGATAGGACGCCCGATGGCAGCATCGTGAGGACCCCGCTGGTTGACCGGTGGCTCTGGCCGCTCGTCTCTCCACCTGCCGCCACCGGCGGCGTGGTGGTCGCCGGTGACGCGTGGCACCCGATGACCCCCAACTTGGGGCAGGGGGCCTGCTGCGCGGTGGAGGACGCCGTCGTCCTCGCCGGGAAGCTAGCCACTGCCATGGCCGGCGGCAGCAGGGGGAACGCCGCCATTGACCGGGCCCTCGAAGACTTCTGCTCGGAGCGGTTGGCCCGGGTCTTCCCGTTGACCGTCCGCTCCAACCTCGTAGGATCGCTCCTCCAGTGGGACAACCCCGTAGTCTGCGCCGTCAGGAACGGGATCGTGATTCCGAAGCTGGTGATGCTAGGCCCGTTCTTGGAGCATACCAACTTCGACTGCGAGCTCCCCGGCCCGCTCTCTGTCAGCAGCGTGTCGGGCTAGCACCCCGGCGGGGGAGGTGCTCGTTGACTTTTCTCAAAATGGGAGATTCGACCCTCAAGTGTTCAAACCGGTCAAGTCAATGTTTACGGTAGATTTTTGGGTTACCATGCGCATACCCAGTTTCTACATGAAAATATTTAGATGTTACCATTTTTTTTTTTTTTTTGGGATCTTTAATCCCCATTCTTGGAAGGAGTGAGAAAGGGCGAAGACTGCCTGCCATCTCTCTCTCTCTCTCTCTCTCTCTCTCTTTTGACCTTGGGCTTCAGAAGGCCCAATTTGGGCAAGTAGAGCTAGAAATGGGCTTGAAAAGGCCCAGTCTCGCAAAGCGGGATGAGCAAACTTTTAAAGAGAAGACCCTTACTGAAGATTAGTATTTATTTGAATCTAATGTGCGTCAATGTGAATCTAACACGTGTCATTCGGGGCTTCATTTAATTTTCGAGTTATTTCTTTTTAACCCTTGTCGAAATATATAGTTAATTATGCATCCGTCTGACGATGTGAAGCGGACGTGGCCCATTAGGAACCTGTCGAAGGATTATCGGATCCTTTCGGTGAATGGCGGACCGTCAAAATCCGAGTAGTAAGATACAACGTGTGGGATATTGAGGGGAACGAAGATGCTGGTCTGCTTCGCGGTGAGCCGGATCAAAACGTTCACCGCTCGGTCAGCGCACAGAAAATGGTGGAAAAATGGCTTGCGGGGTATTTTAAACATTTTCACAGTCTATTCGCCCTACGCATCGCTTCGGTAAGGGTATTTTGGGCAGTCTCTCTTCCGCATCGCTCACGCGGTCTCCCCTCTCTCTCTCCTCTCTCCCCCCACCGCTCACTTCGGCAGCTATTTAATGGTCGTCCTGCCCCAACCGGAACCCACCTCGGTCTTTTTCTGGCTCTTTCTCTCTCCCTCTCCCTCTTTCTCTCTCTCTCTCTCCTGTCCCAGGGGAATTCTTGTTCTTCCAGTTTCTGTTTCCTTCTCTTGCTGAGGAGATCCCGCGGGGAAGAAGAGGAGAGGAGGGAGATCCGGAGAGTGCGGAGGGGGATCTGCTCCACGTAATTTCATTTTTTCTCATCTTTTCTGTGAGACCGGCGGGCCGGGGAGAATCGATCATCCATCACTATGAATCCCGAATAGTGAGTCCTTGCAATTCACCTCTCTCCCTGTGGCGTCACGATTTTCGGGTCCTCATTTCTGTCTAGATATATATTTGTACGTCGATCCGCGTGATTTCTGCATTCGATCCTGCATGATCTCCTAGGTTTTTCTTTTGCTGTGAGGCTTTTCGGTTGATTAATTAGATCTTTTTCTTCCGTTTTAGGCTTATTTTGCGCCCGATTTTCTATATCGTGGACGACTAGATCCGTTGCGTTCATTCCAGATCTGAATGGTAAATTGGGCGTTATATCTGAGTTGAACGTTTCTTTCCCAAATTTGGACTTGCTTTATTGCTGAAGATTAGGTTTCTCATCGTAAAGATTTGGTTTTAATTGGGAAAAACGTGCATTTATCTTAGAATGACAAATTTCTGTCGGATGATTACCATTTTCTTACGTAGACGAGTTCTCTCATTTATCTTTGCCTTTGATGGTGGGACATACTGGGTCTAATGTGCCTGCTGACTACCGGATATCCTATTTCATTTGCACACTCTTATGAATCTTGATCAGTCTGGCTCAAACTCCATAGAAATTAGAAACTTTTCTGTCCACAGCTAGGAGTTTTGTAAGCGTTTTATTATCCATTGGCTGCGTATTATATTTTTGTGGTGATGAGATTAATGCCTTACTCTTGAGGTTACTAGATACTTTTCAATAATTATGTTCTTTACTGCAAAAGAGGATTTTGAAGACAGAATGATATATGGATTGGAAACTGTCAAAATTATGAAGTTCCTACATCCGCAGTGCAGAACATTCTGCTAGCATCTTTTTGAGCGTTATCCATCTATTTTGGCAAATGGTTTAAAAAAAAAAGCCGAGGAAATATTCCTTTTTTTCATTCCTACCTTAGGTTAGACTTTTTCCTTATGGCCTACTATTTGGTTATTGATGAAAGGTATAGGAAAGTAACAAGTGTTGGAAACATGCAGGAATAAGGGATCAGGTTTTTTGTCCCGTAGCTCAAGATGCATTCTTTAAAATTTTATGATTCTCCATGGCATTTCTCATTGCATTTAAAGGAAGTCAATGTTGCTGGAACTTTGAATTTGATAATACGAGGGCATTGGGGACGTCCTCTTAGATGGCATGATACCTTGTATTTCTAGGATTGAATGCCATGAGATTTATGCAGTATAGTATGGAGATATTTCTAACCCCTCTGGTGGAAAAATAAGCATTTCTGCAGTTGTATTTTTGTTAAATTATAATTCTTCTCATGGTGATCCTTCTATGCAGTGATTACTTGTTCAAGCTTCTGCTTATTGGAGACTCTGGTGTTGGCAAATCATGCCTTCTATTAAGATTTGCGGTGAGCAATTCGGTCCTTTCGAGGATATTTCTTGCTGATGAACCTGATTTCGCGTTCTGGATGTGTATGTGCATATGTTATATTTTGGGGTGATTCCTAAAATAATTTTTCCTTGATGACGTTTTCATACACTTACATTTTATCTTCTGTTCGAGCACTTCAAACACATATAACCCTCAAATTTATAATTAATTTAGAAAGTTTTTTTGTTGACAATGTCATAAACGAAACCAAGATCTTTCCCACTGTAATGTCTTGTAAAGCTCTACATATCGTATTGATGACAATGGCTTCGTATAAAAAAAATAAAAAATGTGAAGCTATTTTGAAGGGAATACACCCATTGCAGTCTCTATTCAAACATTTGCTTCCGTCCATACAAGCTGGGAAAAAGAAGTTTCATACTGCGTGTATAGTCTACTTTTAAAAGTGACGTCGATATTTTCTTCAATAGTTTGTTTAATTAGATTTCTCTTGACATTTCAGACTTCAGTCACGTGTAACCCTATACTGACCACATTTCTTGTTTTATTCAGGATGATTCCTACTTGGAGAGTTACATCAGTACCATTGGTGTCGATTTTGTAAGTAGTAGTTACCCTTTTGTATCAACATTGGCGAAAGGTTACAATACTGATATTGTTATAAAATATATATATATTTTTTTGTAGAAAATTCGCACTGTGGAGCAAGATGGAAAGACCATTAAGCTTCAGATTGTGAGTGTCTATAGTCAAATCTATTACGATGCGTTGACCATTTAATTGACGTATCATTCGCCCATCTGTGACAGTGGGATACTGCCGGCCAAGAACGATTCAGGACGATAACTAGCAGCTACTACCGTGGCGCTCATGGGATTATAGTTGAGTGTTGTTTCCAGAGCTCTGCGCTATCCCTGTTTGGAGATCATTTTTCCTTCCTTTCAATGACGTGATGCGACTGTAACGTGCGAATCGTTTCTGCAGATCGTCTACGACGTGACCGACCAGGACAGCTTCAACAATGTCAAGCAGTGGCTGAACGAGATCGATCGCTACGCAAGCGAAAATGTCAACAAGCTCCTTGTTGGGAACAAGTGCGATCTTACTGCGAACAAAGTCGTCTCCTCTGAGACCGCCAAGGTGTGGGGGTGTAGCTTTTCTCAGCTTTTAGCCTTGTTTTGCAAAAAAGAAACGGTCCACAATGATCTCTCTTCCTCATTGCCGTGATTCTCTACGCGGGGGGGGGGTGGGGAGAAATGACTTTCAGCTTTGTATGTATGTATGCATGTTTCCATCCGAAGGAGTGAATCTTTTTTTGCTTCGATGCGGCAGGCATTTGCGGATGAGATCGGAATCCCATTCATGGAGACGAGCGCGAAGAACGCCACCAACGTGGAGCAGGCCTTCATGGCCATGGCCGGCGCCATCAAGAATAGGTAACTTGGTTACAGCCGCCTTGCATCAAGAACAGGGAGTGGGGGGAGGGGTCTTCCCCCCCTTCCTCTGTCTGCCTCTCTTTCTCTCACTTTCTCTTTCTCTCTCTCTCTAACTCTTGTGCCTATCTTTTTCAGGATGGCGAGCCAGCCGGCGATGAACAGCGCGAGGCCGCCTACGGTGCAGATCCGCGGGCAGCCCGTGAACCAGAAGAGCTCCTGCTGCTCCACTTGAAGCGGAGGCTCGTCCTCTGCTCGGGTTGCTCGACCGCCTCTGTAAAACCCAGTAAGATTAAAATCATCTATACCTCCTGCAGGGCCTCAGCAGCGTCGGCGCTCAGCTCTTTTATATCTGTTTTTTTGGGAAAATTCCAGTTCTTCCTTTTTCTACTCGGACATCCTGCTGTTCTCTCTATTTCTGTACAAAGAAGGGGGGACGGCCAGATGATGATGATGATGATGATGATGATGGTTTCTACTGTGCTTGTTCGTCTGCTCCCAATGTATTCCCCTTCCGTCTTCGGAAATAATATCTCGTCTCGATAAAGAAGAAATCTCGCTCCCCCCTCCCTCGGGTATGGTCTGATGCGTCAGGGCCGGTCTTCCACAGAGGAACACCCCACCCATGGAATGATGGAGAGTCTTGAGAGAGAGAGAGAGAGAGAGAGAGAAGCGTTTCACATACTTGGATGAGAAGAAAACGGTGTCTTTTTACAAGGGGAGAGAGAGGGAGAGATGATACAATCACATTGTGGGAAAGGAGCAGGGAGAATGAGGGGGATACTTCCTCTGAGGGAGAGAGAAATGATACAATCATATTGTCGGAAAGGAACAGCGAGAATGATGGGGGGGGGGTTCCTCCTTTCGAGGGAGGGCGGGAGAGAGAGAGAGAATGAGAGTTGGTGTTTCAGGAGGGATTGTGGTCTTCCCAATTGGCCCTGGGGATCTCTCCAGAGTCGGTGATGACGGCCTTCCTCCGGGGGTTCCCTCTGTAGGTCCCCGCCGCCGCCTCGATGGTGAAGACCGTGTCCATGCCGTCGATCACCTTGCCAAAGACCACATGCTCGCCGTCCAACCTGATAGCCAGAGAGAGAGAGAGAGAGGATCCTTACCAAAAAAAAAGAGGGGGGGGGGAGGATGAGCTCACAGAGATCAGAAGTCAGGGCCCTTACCAGCTCGTCTTCACCGTGGTGATGAAGAATTGCGACCCGTTGGAATCGGGGCCGAAATTGACCATCGAAACGATGCCTGCGGGAGGGGAAGACGGCCTGTTAGCAATGGAAGGGGCGAAGAAAGAGGCTGGGATGCTGACGCCCTTCGGCAGAGAGGAGAGAATGGTCTTGGGACAGACGGGGGGGGGGGGTAATCATAGGATCATAGAGAGAGAGAGAGAGAGAGAGAGAGAGAGAGAGAGAGAGAGAATGGTTCGGGCACTAAGTGGTTTAAAAGAGGAATGCTGTGCTCCTCTGGTTATGAATATAGTTTATTTACGATGAGAGTAATGAGTGGAGGAAAGGAGACCTGCTTGTGAATGTTTCAGCTTGAAGTTCTCATCAGAGAAGTTTCGGCCGTAGATGGAGTCGCTCCCCGTGCCATCGCCACGAACAATGTCCCCTCCTTGGATCATAAACCCAGTCACCACGCGATGGAAATGGGTCCCCTTATAATGCAGACGCTTTCCACTGGACCCAATGCCCTTCTTCCCTGAAAATCCAAACAGATAGAACCCCATGTGAACGGTTTGGAGATAGCATGGCCGCTAGAAACGGTCATGGAAGGAAGATTTATGCAGACTCAGATACCTGTGCAGAGAGCTCTGAAATTCTCTGCAGAAAGAAAGAAAGAGTATGAATCAGAACAGCATTTTAGTACTAATCATCACTTGAACTATAAAAAACCAACTCAATAATCGTCTCAAGCGTCCAATTAAAATAAGAAAATATTGATGATCATGGAATTGAGAATCAGGGAACATTTAAGAAATAAGATGGACTGTAAAATATAGGTTATAAATGAGGTAGGGAATGACAAAAGTATGACACGGTGTGTGGAGTTTCTACAAGCTTCCGAGTTTTTGATTTTTGTACGTAATAGAGAGAGTCCTGATCATATCAGGATTATTTACTAAGTATTTCTATGATAACATTAAAAGCTAGAATTAGTGGGAACTGATGTAGAAGTAACGTTCGACGCCAGATCAAATACATTCTACTATATTCAGTGTCCTCTTCCACTCAACGGTCCACAAATATGCTTCCCATTCGATAGCTTTAATTTTTTAAATAAAAATATTTATAGAAAATTTCTATCTCAGATAATTAGTACAACTGTCGGAATAACTCAGGTGAGACTATATTATGCGTTCAGTACAACTATCGGTACATCAGGATGCGGTAAAGTGAAAAAGAAGGAAAAAATTACCAATGATTTAACAAGGACCTGTCCATTGAAGTAAGATACTACAAAAAAAAATCAATAAAGCTAATACAAGCATGCTATTGGGTAACGAATACTTTATTTTATTGGAAGGGGCTTTCTCGGCCCAGTGATGAACAAGCAGACATACAAGACTCTTAGGGCTACCTGGCCGCATTGAGTTCCTTAATTGAACTTATTCTTTTTAAAAAACATTCCGTGGCACACGTGGAAATTTATTTTCTCGAAAATGATATCTATTGGCTAATATATCTGGTGGATTAGAACACAAAAGCCTCAATTTCAGGGAAAAAAATGGATGCTTTTCGAATGAACTCACCAACTGTCTTTGGCACTACTTCTCCATACAAGCCAATAACAATCTTGTCTGTTGAGAATTCACATAGAAAAATGAAATAAGCAATTACATAAGAGGAAGAAGTTCCGGCCACAGATATATCATATACAAGCTCAAAACTAAGGCTTAAGCAGAAGATGGTGAAGGCACTGAAAAAAATGCATAAATTGTACCACCCAATCCCAGGAAAAGAATCATAATTTTTTCTAAATTTTATTTCATTTTCTCATGTTGTTCGTAAACACTCAAAGATGAGAAGGGAAAAAAACACAACACTAGTATTTCAATGATGCTAGCATCATGAGACAATTACAAAAACGATTCGTTATTTTCAACAAATACGAAGCAAAATTGTATGATATTAACCATGCACCGTGTCATAGGGTTGGTCTCTTCCACACACCTTTGAGAGATAAAAGGTGTAGCAATCTGACCTTATGAAAAGTTAACATTAGACACCAGTAATACTAATAACTGCACTTTTAGGAATTTCGATAAAATGACTTCACTACCATGCCCTCATTGGTTATCTTTCGAAAGCCCCTCATCAGTACCTACTCACTTTTAGAAAACATTTGTCTTCAACCATACACATGACTGCATTATCCACGCCAATTGAAAAGAACTTTTGATTCTCCTCTGATTGGCGAACAAAATAGTTGTAACCTGTGAAATTTGTTCACAATTCTCATATGAATATACAAGTGAAAACACCAAAGGAGAAGCACGGCACTCTCTCACTCATCAAGAAAGATGATGATCTATGGCCTCAGTGCATTTCCTTGTTTTTCTTTACTCAAGCTCTTCCCTCAAAACTATAGTTTGACTAGCAGATTCAATCATCATGTTTGACCCGTCCATAAATAAACATGCTACATGTTATGAGACATCAACGCTTACAAACATCTAATATTTTTTGTATCTGTTTCCAAACTTTGTGTGCGCGGTATAGATCCAAACCTTCCATGGGGGTTATCTAACACTCCACTTTTGGAGGGGGGACCTGCACATCACCTGACGTTGGATATCTGCTGATGTGGATATTCTAAATCTGATGCACTAGTGTGGCTATGTTGCAGAGTGGTGTTCTAGCACGATCATTGTGCGAGAGGATCTCAGGGTTGAGGAAGGTCTCTTTTACATGTCGATTCACAGCATTGTAAGGAGTATGGGAAGACCCATAAGCGAAGTCAACATCTTGCAACTGGCAGCAAGGATATGACACATACTTGTAATGTCATAATAACTTGAAAACTCTGGAACATCATTCATGCCCAGAATTACTAGAGTGCATGTGGCCTCGGAGTGAGATGGAAGACTACCAATTTGATTCGTCTGAATCGCATAAACAGGTTTACTACCGTAGGATATATTAATTGCAAGTAAGGATATGTTCGTAATCTTTTCAGTCTAAAAGTAAATATAAGAAAATTTAAACGGCCCTAAATGTAATCGATTCCATCTGATCCTACAGATATTGTCTGCATAGGTACCAACAGAGTAGTGGGGGTGATAAATAGCATCAAACACAAGTCATCTTGACAACACAAACAGGTTATAGCCGAATCAAGATGATATATGGCACAAATCTCTAGAATTCTGGACAATATAATTCAGGTCAGCTTGATTATCTGATGAATTAGAGCCCAGTCGCCTTATCGTGACATGTCAAACAAAGTCTGCAATACATGGTCCATACTGCCAGTAGCACGTATAATGGGGAGAGAGAGAGAGAGAGAGAGAGAGGAGAGAGAGAGGACGTCTTCGTCATCTTTCACTCACATAAATCCTACACAACCAAATTAATAGTTAGATTAATATTATTAACTATTTGGTGGTGATAAAAAGTATAATTTTGGCCTACTACTTCTCAACGAAAAGTCAGCAAAAAAAAGTTAAACAATCCATTTGAAGGAGACGTCTTGGAGAAACATACCCAAAGTTTGGCCAGGAAGGGAGATATCCAAGAAAACTCTGTGGGTGACTTCAGGGATTTCTTCTACCTCTTTCACCTCCTATGATGAAAACATCAGTATGTAATAAGTGAAGAATCAACCATAAATTCTCATGGAATTTTAATAACGTTGACTTGTGACGATTATGAATGATGTAAGCACTAAATTCGATGTACATGACACTCCAATAATGAAATGAGAGTCTCATATTAGAAAATGGACAACTTGCTTGATACGTCAATTCACAACAATTGGCTACTGGATCCGGAAATGGAAGGCGAACAGGACCAATGTGCTGAGAAAATGGAGCAACTACAAGAGAATAAGAGCCATGAAATATAAGATCTTACTGTAAACACAGAATCTGTATGTTTATCTAGCGTCTCAAAACAGAATTGGTGGCCTAAATATCTCTCCAGAGGAGAAGGGAGAGAAAATTTTACCAAATTTTTCTGCTTCCAGTTGAAGTGATAAGTATTCTTTAGCATTTCTTTTGGAAAAAGTACCTATCAGTCAGTAACCTCAGAGAGATGCAATCACTACACGGTCAGCGAATATCAGAAAATTCTGGCCTCAATTGATCCCGGAAACTTTCACATAGACTAAAAACGGACTGAAATCAAAATTAGCTGAACCACTCGCGAACCAAAAGTATGAAAAGATGGCCAGCCTTGATTTGAAAACAAGAGATCGAGTATTTAGCGAAGCGTATCCGAGAAACAATTGCCGGGATCCCCTTGAATACCGTTTTAATTTCCTAAACGTTCCAGCTTCACTGGAAAGCTAGATCTATTTTACGTAAATGAAGTATAAGAAATCTTTCTGCGAGCATCAAGATGCCAAGGAAGGAATGTGGTACATGGCACCAGTGAAACATAAAAATCTTTATTATAAATCTCGGCAACGCAGTAGAATTCGTAGACAAAAAAGGCCAAGCCGAAAGGAAAATAAGAGCAATCAATCCTACAAAGAAGTCAAGCCGTTCAACTGATCACTAGTCTACACGCCTAACTAGGGAGACGCAGCCAATCTTATGCGCATGCTGCCTCTGAATCCGAAGCAATTGCTCAGACGAAGCACCGTTCCATCGTTCGATAGACAACCGCAGCAAAAAAAAAGAGTCTAATCAAGATGTAGCGAAAGAATTCGAGGAGGGATCGGGACGTACATTTGGCGCTTTTACCTCTACCACCTCCTTGCGATTGAAGGAGGAGGAGGAGGAGGTGTAGAGGAATATGAAGGCAAGGATCGCGAGCAGTGGAAGCACATATTTCAGACTCATCTTCAGCTCCTCCTCCCCTGCACCGACGCCTCCTCACTCCCTCCCCTGCTACTTCCCCTCAAACCGCCATGTCTTCTTCACCTCTCCTCTTCCCAATAGATCTGTTTGACCGGGAGCTCTTCCTCGTCTTCCACTGGTCCAGAGTCACCGACACGGATCCACGACCCGCATTTTACAATCGGATCCTTCCAGAGCCTGCCAGCTGGCAAAAACTCACCTTCCAGAGCCTGCCCCTCCGTCTCCTCAAGTTTCCCGTCTTCCCCCAGGTGGTGGTTGGTTGGTTAGCCCTCGTTCCATGGAAGGCGGTGATCGGATGGAGGCGGCGGCCGCGGCAGCGGCGGAGGAAGAAGTGCAGGAGGAGTTGGAGGCGGTGGTGGCCGTGTACGGCGAGGATTGCCGGGTACTGCAGACCTTCCCACCCCACATTAACGTCTCCATCAGGCCCAGAACAGCAGACGACCCAGCGCAGCAGTTCGTGGAGGCTGTCCTCGGTGTAAGGGCGGGAGCTCGGGTACTGCAGTTTCAGCCTATGATCATGTTATGTGGACTCCGTCGAAGAATTTTGTCGTCTGTCGTTTATTTGTCACTTTTTGTAAGCCGCATAACTCCATTTGAGCAGTAATGGTAGGGAGGTATTATGGCACATAAAAGTATTCTGGTGAATGATGTTGGATAGCCGTATTGGGGATTTATAGCTTATCCTTGGGGATGCGCATGATTGTGTCTTTAATATTATTCAATTACTTGGTTGATCACCGTGGAAATTCTAATCGTAATGGAAATAACATCCTACGGATGTATACTTCGTTTCCATTAAGGTTTTTTGAAGACATCATTATTTGGCGACATTGCTCGCATAAGACATTTAAAATTTCTAATCAGCGTTAGATGTTTGGAGGTCGTTATTCAGAAGAGTCTCGTCTGTGTGATCTGATGATTGTATCCCAATTTGCATGCTATTTTCATTCACACTAGATACTTGATGTGCTCCTGTATCTTAGGTCCATAGAACAAGCCAACAACTCTGTCTCGGCTGACTTTTTATAGGCGCATACTCTGTCCTGTTGGAGAACTTATCAGCTATGACTACATCAAAAAAATTCAAACATATGAATCATGGTCCTGGGTCATAAATGGTTAATCATAATGGCTAATCCCATGTATGATATGTTTATGTTCATCCAAAAAAATTGTGCCATCATTTTATATGTTCTAACCGTTCATTTTGTATCAGTATCCAGCCGAACCTCCCCATGTAATTCTGGTGGAATCTAAGGGCCTTGATGAGGAGCGGCATGAAAAGTTGACTACCATCGTACGGAATAAAGCCCAGGAACTTTCTTCACGTCCGATGCTGATAGCACTCTGTGAGGTAAATTCCTTTGAACTAGAACGATGCTGCTGGTGAATGGCTGATGGTTGCTGGCCAAAGAAATTCGCATGGAGAATTATTGAAAAATGGCAAAAATAAGATATGCTGAAGGAAAAAAAATCGACAACACTGCAGAAATCCTGCAGTTAAAAATCGTGGGAACATTTTCTTAATCAGATTTTTTTTTTCATTTCCTTTTTCTGGATATTTCATATGAGTTGGTGTTTAATGCTTCCTCTGGGTGTTGTCAGTTAATGATATTGTGGCTCTCAAGAATTCGTAATCATCAGGAAACAATGTTGAAGGGAGTGATTTCTGACATTCTATCAAGGGAACCATCTTTATCATACAAGTAATCATCAGGGCATGGATTTCCTTTTTAATCTTACTTTTCTAATAATTGCCTCACTAATCCAAGGAAAAAATGCATTTAATGATAGAGTATCATGTGTTTCATTTAACAATCGCCACAAAACTTCACTATACGAGCTAATAGTGACTAATTAATTTGTCACTATCTTAGTCGATTTCTTACACTGTCTTATTAGTCTTCTTCATCTTTTGCGAATCCCAACTTTATTTTTCGTATTTATCCATTTAATTTGAACATAAAACCGCTCAATGTTCATGAAAATGAAATTGTACGCATGATGATGATGTTTTGAAATAAGTTTTGCATTCAAAGGCCTAAGTGTCTGTCTAAGTTTAAGACAGCCTGAGAGCTGGATACTGGTGGATCCTAGATTCTTCTTTCATGTGGTTGAGAGCTTTTCTTGCTTTTTCTTGTCTTGTATGACGTGATAATTTTTTCCAACTGCAGAAATTTACTAATTTAAATACTTCACTAGGAAGCAGTTGACGTGCTGTCTGATATGAATTATCCCGAGGGAAATTGTCCATTGTGTCTGGATCCATTGTTTCAGCAAGATTCTGACGATCAGTCATTTCCATTCATGAAGCTGATGTCTTGTTTTCACTGTTTTCACAGGTGAGGGTATAATATCCTTTCAAGTTTTGATTTTCTTGTCTTTGTCACTCATTAGGGACTCATTTGGTTTGCCCTTCTAGTGATTGCATTCTCAGATGGTGGCACTGGCTTCAACAAGAAGTTGAGAGAAACGCCGATAATCAGTTTCAGGGAACTAGACCTACTTTTTCGGAAAATCGAATTGGTGAATATTCTAATGTGATTTAAATCGTTGTTTTTTTATTCATGAAATAGCATGAAGACAAATTTACCTTCCATTTTTTTCTATTTGCCTTTTTTTGGGTGAAAAATTGTATCCTTTTGTCAAACTATTATGCCTGAAAGCCTCAGTATTTGGGAGGCTGGTCGTAACCTTTCTTTCTGGCACAAAAAAATGAACGGCTTCACGAATGAGACTTAAGAAAAAAGAAAAAAAGTCAAAGGTTTGATGAAGAAAATACGAGTGATTTTGCAATTTAATAGGCTATCTTGATTGGCTTGAGCCATACTTTTAGTGAACAGTTGGGTTTGATGGATAGTTTAAAAGTGAAGATGAAGGCTAAGGAACCTTGGGCGACCTTGTCAACTTGCACGTGGACCTTTCTTCATCCAGTTTGTAAGCGATGCCCACTATAATTGATTCACATGAGGAACCTGTGTGGAACATGAACAAAAACATTTTGAATTGGAAAATCTCAGCTCTACGTGGAGATGCTTATGTAGTGTATCTGATTGAGGGGTTTCATATTGGTCTAGACAAACTTTCACTCATTCAGATTGATGAAAAAGTGCAGCCTAAGGAGAAACATAATTCATTGTCTTAATTTCAGTGATATATCATAGCTACATGAGAATTCCATTTCAAATTTGAATTGGAACATGAATATTTATCCACATATTGACGTTTTTTGGTTTGTTGGATACGGGTATATGAGTAGGCTGTAGGTATGAGTGCAACTGTATTGGATTTGTGAATCACTGTAATAATTTTATTCGACGTCTTCTCTGCAGCCAACTTGTCATATACTGATAGCTATGATGGGAAAAAATCAAATCAGAAAATAAACCTGAATATTTCTTTCAATTTCTCTCCTAATTTCAGTATGGGCTGATCTTTGATCCTGATGCAGTTAATTGAGATGTTGAGCTTCATATTCCATGGCACTGCATTCCCCAGCGTCCTGAACTTATTGCATATGGTCCCTAGATTGTCCCATTATCTCTGGACCCATTGCTGTCAGATATTGCATACTATTTTTTCGGTTCCTTACTGATGTCTAGTTTTTGGTTTGGATAATTTGTTGTTGTCTTCAAAAACAGTCTTTTGCATTTGTGGTCTTTAACTTGAGCTGAGTTGAGCCATATGAATGTCCTCTGTAATACACAAATGAAGACATTGATTCTTGGAATGTGGTATATTGGGCAGGTATTTTGTCCAAACTCTAGTTGGAAATTGTTTGTATTCCTATCACTATTTGTAATCATCATTCAGCAGATAAGAAATAATGTCTGAGGAGAAATCTGAGGTCTAAGTTGATAGCACCTTAAATGTAAATCTAAGGAAATTTGGAATGAATTTTCGTGACATTTTATCGTAGCAAAGATCTTCCACTAAATGTTAGGGCCCTATGCAAATGGATTTTGAAGATATTGTTGACAAAATTCCCATGTAGAAGATAATGGGCCTCCTGCTGCAGCTAGTTGTTAAGCCTGAGAACAATATGTTTTAGCCTCCTTTGATGTGGTCTGCCTAGGGGTTCTGGCGCTACTTTCAGCTTGTTCCTTATTCACTGAAGGTTCACATCTTTCTACTACATGTGCTCTATGACCTGGAAATCATAATAGATGATTTTGGATTGAATTATGTTTTATTAGTTGAGGCTACTTTTTCTCTCTCCATGATGTGAAAGATGTTCCTATCAGTCTCGAGGCCTGCTGCTGTGAATTTAATAACTTGCCATTTTAAGAAAACTTGTTCTGTAAAAATGCTCAGCTGGAAATTTTTATTTTCTTTTAATTTCGAAGTATAATTTGACTTCAAACCTTCATTGGGAAGCTGCTGTTCCAGCTCAGGTATGCATCTCAGCTCAAGATCCACACCAAGCGAATTGCCCTGTCTGCCGAACGGTGTTTCAATCGAATGATCTCGAGCATATTCTCAATTTGGTGGAAACCAGTGCGTCGAAAGCAGTATGTACTCATCTACTTGGTGGAAGATACTCGTTATCTAGTTGTGTTTTATTACGTTTCTGCTTTCATATTCCGGCGATATTAACATTACTCTTGGAGCAGTACTTAATGCTGGTTTACTTGAGGTACCTTAATAGAAGAAAAAAATTATTTTTCGATATGTAAGAATTTAATTTATTCACCTTCCCTGATGGCGGAGGGAGGCATTTCATTTTGGTGAGGTCATTACTTAGTGACACAATTCATCAATAAATAAGGGCATTCTTAACATCCCGAAAAAAGAGTCTGCATAAATTGGGTCTGCAAGAGAGTTGGGCACCATGGCTTGCGGCCTTCCCCTAATTCCTCAACTCAAGAATGTAAAATAGAAAGGGATTGGCAGAGAAGATTACAGACGTCCTGTCTCTCTTGTCTGACCTTTAACATTATTAGTAATGTATCAAAGAAGTCCTTTTGGTGAGGGATGCCATCACGAAAGTGGGTCTGATATGGGCTTTCTGATAATCCTGTCTTCACTGTCTTCCACTTTTTCTTGATAGGCATTCACTCTTTTCTACTGTGTTATACTGCTAATGGATCGCATTCTCCAATTTAACATCAATCTGCCTATTTTTTTCCGCCCAATAATTGAAGTTCCTTATAATGCGTTTCCATGGAACTGGTGACAAATAATCATAAGCTATGGAAAGCCCCCTGTCGTTGGTAGAGGGTAGAAAATTTTAGTCACATTCATAAAAGCATTCTCATCAATATAAAAAGGAAATCAGAAAGGGATATCGTCCGTATATCTCACTTGTTTATGACAGAAATTGACTAAAAGAGTGAATAACTACACCCGTTCTCACATAGTGAGGGTACATTCGTTATCATTTTTCATAGAAGGTCAAAACGAGAGAATTTCAGTTCAGTGGAATCTTTTCATTGCTAAAGTCCAATTGATGTCATGATCCCAACTGTTATCTCTAAAATTCAGCAAGTGCGATGATTAATTTTCAAAATTAACATTATACAAAAAAGCTCTGAGATCTGTGCTCTTTTCCTCTTTAAAATGTGATGCAGTTATTTCACTGTTGTTAATTGATTCCTAAGTGTTTTTTTTTTAACTTTTCGTGCAGGATTAGAGTTTAAAAATAAGATTAAATATAGAAAATGGCCTTCCATAACGTTATTTATGACATATGACAGATAAGTTAGCGGCCTGTTGAAGCTGTGATGCAAAAACTGGGTTTTAATTTTAGTACCAACATTCATTCTATATCTAGTGTCAGGGATAATGTCCCATCTAGCAAATGTATGAATTTAGAACTACCAGAGATTTTATTTTTTTGCCGATCTGGGCATGAATTAAAATTCATCAACTTTCTATGCTATTATCAAGTCCCATGCTGAAACTTTGTACTTTTCATAATTCCTGTACGGAGATTGCCTTTTAATCCATATAAGTGAAGTCAAGAGAATAAATTATGCCATAATCTTGATGGCTAGGCTCGGTGCTCGTGTTCAACATTCTTGTAATACATTCATTTTTCTATTTTTAGTAACTCATGGTAGTATTATTTATTCTAGCTTCGTCCCTTTCAATTGGCTTTCACATATATATATGTATATACATATATAAGCCAATGATGTTTGCCTTTATCCTGTAGTTTCCTTCTTGGAAACTATCTAATCATAGCAAAGACCTTTGCTGCTCTGAACGAGATTCTTTACTGCAGCTTCCTATGAATGGGAGATTGGAAGTAAAGTGAAAAGAAAAGCATTCCTCTTTTTCAGAGCCTGCTTACTCATTTCATGCCATAATCTTCAGGCTTGTGCCTTCTTCGTCACTTGCGTTCAAGATTCTCCTCTTTTATTTATTTATTTATTCGTTCATTCATTCATGCTAATTCATGCTTCCATCTGCTCTTGCTCGCTTCATTTACATACAGAAATATATATATATATATATGTATATATACATATCAGTGATGTCTGGATTAACTAGATATTATTTCTGGTGAAGACATCCGAGCGGCCATTCTTTCAGCACGGTTCTTCCCTCTTCTTTAAACTATGAAAAATATGAGATTAAAAGGAAAAAGAGGAGACCAAAATTTCCTCAGTCCCTCAGCTTTGATTGCCCTCTTTTTGCCCGTTCTTACAGAATCTTTTCTATTTTTCGCCGATTCATATGCTACGAACAAAAAAACTAAGAAATATTCTTTCTCAATGGAGAATAAATTTTCATCACATTTAGTCCACTGGGGAACCGAAGACTGCCAAAAATCCCATGATTTCGATTTAAAATTCTTCTTCTTCTTCTTCTTCAATAAAAAAGAATAAGTGGTCGGCCTCTGACTGATGCTTCAGACCTCTCCATTACTCAAAATTGTTCTTTCAGCTTTGACTGATATTTCTTGGAAGTCCTCTCATTATTCGTTCCATAAATAGCAAAATTGTATTATTTTATCAACCCATCATGTTTTTTTTTGCGTTGACTTTCTTCGTCAGGGCTGCGAGGGGGCGGATGAGGAAGAGGTCGCCGGGTGGGACCTCCTCTGCTCCGACGAGGAGAACCGCCGGCGGGAGAAATTCGAGGCCCTGCTGAGGCTCCAGCGAGAGCACAGCGGCCTGATCGAACCCAAGAAGGACCTCATCGTCGCCCCAGGGATGTTCCTCCCCGAATGGGCCTCCCCAGCGAGCGGTGGCGGCGACGCCGCCGGTGAGCTGCCGGCGATGGCGTCGGGAAGCCCGCCGAGGGCGGCGCGGCGGCGAGGCCGGGAAGGGGCCGGACTCACCGGAGGCAACATCCCAGCGGGCAGTCGAGTAGAAGGCAGTGGACAAAGGGAGAGACGGGCTCCGATCATCATGACGAGGGGTCGATTGATGGGAGAAGGAGATTGAAAAATGCGATTGAAGTAGGAGATTTTTGATGCGTGGGTTCCGAGGAAACTGGGAGGTCGTTTGTGATCGTAGACGGAAGTTTTTATTCCAGTGTTGAATTTTTGTGGCCGCTTATAGCTCATGATCGTGAGGGGGGTTGAGCCGCCTGTTCTTTGATTGTTGTGTTGCTTTTCTGTATTCTCTGCTTTCTCCGCTACACTTTCGCCATATCTACCCCCACATACGTTGGTCCCAGTTTCTCTCTCTCTCTCTCTCTCTCTCTCTCTCTCTTGTGTGTCTCTCTCAACGGAGAAAGTCTAGAAAGAGGCTACTCCCCGTCAGTGTCTCCAGTTGTGGTCAGTGGACCCTTGTGACGTCTTTCCTGCCTCCCCACTTACAAGCGTCTGCTATCTGTTTCAGATATATATCGAGAGAGAGAGACGTAGTGGGTTTCTCTTTCAGTAAAGTAGGAGCAGAGCGGCCGTTCTATGCGCAAGTCTGTCTGTGTCTGTCAGTCTGTCCCGGTCCGGGTGAGTGCCGGCAGGCCCCGGCACACGCCGAAATTCCCCCTAACTTGGAAAGCCAATGTCGATGGACAATAAGCCTCCAACCAGAGCATCTTAGGCCGCCGACTCCCACTCCACTTCCCTGTCAATAAAAGCTTTCATGGCCCCCGATATATATATATATATATATATATATATATATATAGAGAGAGAGAGAGAGAGAGAGAGAGAGAGTGGACTGGATTCTACGGGACATGATCTTCTCCGTTCATACTCACATGATCTTCCTCTTTCATAACTGGGTTGTACTGGAACTGACCACCTCCGCGGCAACTACCACTTCGCTTTCAGAAAAAAACTTTCATGCCCTCCACGAGAGAGAGAGAGAGAGAGCTGGGTTCCACTGGAAATGATGTTCTCCGTTCATACTCACATAACAAACATCGATCTTCCTGGATTTGAACAATGGGTTCACGAAGAATCAACACAATCGCGGCACTCCGGCAGGGCAGCGCCACCTTCCTGCGCTCCTTAATTGCTGAGAGCTCCAAAGGTCGCCACCGCCGCCGCTGCCTACTCCACGTACTGGGTCTGCCGGAGGTGCCCGGAGAGGGAGCGGTCCAGGCGGTGGCGATGGTGGGGCCTCGGCGGTGCGCAGCTCGGCACGGCGGCGCCTTCTCTGCCCTGAGCGACGCCGAGCATGAGACTGAGCTGCGGTGGATCCCCTGGCTCGCCGGAAACCGATAGCCTCCTCATGGAGCCTGAAACTCCCACCTGCTCCAGAAGGCCAAGCCCAAATATAAGATCATTCATCAAGGAAGGGCCAACCGTCCAAGAATCGTGGACGATGGAGGGCCTACCAGGGGATGGGGGCCGCTGGGTTCAGAGGCGCCACCGTGGCTAGCCAGGAAGTCTTCTGTTCTTGGTGGGCCCGAAGACGCCGCCGCTGCTACCAGGGCTTCATTCTGCAGGCAGAGATAACCAGCATCCACGAGACTTCAAAACATTGAATATCCATTTCCGTGCCGCAATCTGATTACTTCAATTACCCTCTTGCCGTCCAGGGGAGGAAGATTGATCTCCATGGACGATCCCTTCTGAGCTTCAGACGTAGACGCCTGAATCAAGGAAGAATTATCAGATGAGTAGACCGGATACGGAAAGTCAAACCAGAGGAGCCCAGATGAGGGGAGAGAATCAATCAATACACTGTCTCCGATCACCACGTCGAAAAGGCTGGAGCGGCGCCGCCTGCCGCTGGGGGCGGTCTGCCTGATGAAATATTTCTGGGCGTGGCTGGCCACCTGCGTCGGAGTTCTGGTGAGCACGAATTTCTTAGATATTCCCCGCCAATCTCCCTTCCCCAGCTTCTCCAGGCCTTCCAGGAACGTCCGGTGTTCTTCCTCTGTCCACGGCACCCCTGCGAGGAGGAACTGGATTAATCCGTCGGTGTTCTTCATTAAAGAAAGGATTTTGATCGATGGATAGTTAAAAGAGAAATCAGATCGGTACATATCCACGGTTCAAGCTCATATGCATCATAAAGTAGCCAGAACTCTGGGAAGAAACAAGATTCTAGACTCCATCTGGGATGGTATCCCCTTTGATCAATCATTCCCATAGAATCATGAGGCTTGTATATTTTTCCGAAATCAATAGGTGAGATTTTTAGATCTAAGATATGATGAACATGATAAGCTAAATTTTTGTCGCTATGAATTTTTAAAGGAAGAACAATTGGTAAAATAATCCATGGTCTCAACACGTATGCCTCATAAAGTAGTCCGAATTCCGGATATGATGTGGGCTGATATCACAGTTCTTCATTGATTCCCTTCCAATCCAAAAGTTTCTATTAAAATTATAAGAATACTTTCGATCGAAGATACGATGAACATGATGAACTGTTCACCAAAACATGAACGCCAAACAATGGAATTGCTAAAGTTGGGGAAACTTGTTCCTCAGCCACTCCATTTTATACATGGCGGAAATCATCACAGGCATATGTTCTGACAACAGAAATATATGCAGCATCAAAAATTAAAATTAGAATCCCATTAATAAACATTAAGATCATAACATTTTGTGGTCCTCTGCTTTCCTTTTCCTTCTTTTCTCGTATGAAATCCAAAAACAGTAAGGGTATCTTTTCTTCAGTGTATCTACCTGAAGGCTCAGTCAACCTTGAATAACACAACGAAAATGAGAAATTCAATATGACTTGTGGAACAAACGTAGGCAGAAACTGCTTCAAATCCCTGTTAGTAACTTCGCTATAGATTTCACCACAGCAGATGAGGGAGTGCATATTTTTTCAATTTTTTTTCTTCAATCAAACATGTAAATGAAAAACATGAGTCTTATCTACGATGAATGTTCTGTCCTTAGTACTTCATGACGTCCCAAAAGGATATCATCATAATCATGGAAAAATGATTTCAATTAAATCAAAATCACAAAGATTTCTCAAGGAAAAGGTAAATAATAGAATAAATATAGAAATAAAAATTCAGTGATAAGTGTGGACAGCCAGGATTATGCGAAGCTCATAGCCCAGAGTTCTGGCGAAATTCGTCGAGTGCGGCCAGGATTGGTTCCTCAGGGAGCTGAGAGTACATTCCAGTTGTCTCGAATTTCTTCAATCATTAATAAAATAATAAATTTCACTTACTAACAGGAGAAGAGGGTTTGAATTCCCATAAGACCGAAGCAAAATTGAACAAGACACAATTCTATTAGCAGGTAACAGAGAATTTTTTTTACAGAGAGAAATAATACATCCAATAGAAATCCAAGTTCTCTCCCGATTTGTAGGTCCAGATATCACGAGATCGATTGAAATTTGAACGAATAAAAACAGAGCAATAAATCCTCCGAATGGCATTTCATTGGCATCCCCTGCTCACTACCATCGATGCCTCTGCATCTTGCTCATTTTACGAAAGGGGAAAAGCGAATCCGTAGAGTAAAACGGAGAAACGCGCATACGTAATTGAACAAAGGGGTACATAAAAGAGGATAAACAGCTCACTACACCTTTCTTCCTCTCGTGCGCCCCCGCTCCGCCCCTCCTCCTCCGCCGCTTCCCCGACTTCTGGAGCCCCCCTTCCGACAGGTAACCCCGCTCGACGGCGGCGTTCTCTGCCGCCGGATCCGCCGCCGCCGCCAGATTGCTCATGCTCCGACTCTTCCTAATTATCTCCTCCCCCGCCCACTCTCGTGCTCTGCCATTCTTCTCCTCCGCCGCCCCTTCTCCGGCGATGATCGTCACTCCGAACAACCTCACGCCTGCCTTCCCTTCGCTGCCCCGCGCATCACTCGACTCCATCGCCTCTCCCTCTCTCTTGCTCTCTTGCTCTCTCTCTCTCTCGCTCTTCTACCTCACCCTTTCTCTCTCTAAAACCCGCATCTTGACGGGGAAACGTAGGCACCTTAATATCCTCGGTAAAGACCGCACGCTCACCTGGCAACTGCCGCCATATTTATCGAGAAGGACACCTCGTTACTCTACCCCTAGTATATTTTTTACTTACATTTTCTGCCATTATCTCTCATGTATTCCGTGCCTCCCGTTCTCACCGGCCGTAGGTTACGAAAATTATTATGAATAGACCCCCAAATACCTCCAAATAATTAAAAAAACTTATGTATATACGGCGGATCCCACTGAGCGCCGACCTAATCCCAGAACTCTCTCTCTCTCTCTCTCTCTCTCTCTCTCTCTCTCTCTCTCGTGTGGCCTCAACCCATAAGATAATTTATAATAAATTATATTACATGAAATTTTACTTATTTTAATAATTTATCGGTGTATGGTTCTTTGATTGTAGGTCCATATAATCTACTTGAACTGGTGATAGGCTATTCTTTTTTCTCTTACCCTCAAGTTCCTTATGAAATCCTCTAATCTTAGTGCTTGGTGTATTGGTTTGCTTTAAGTTAATTTTAAATAATATATTGTTTCAATTTAATTAATCTGGTTACTTTTGTAGACGAACCAATAATTCTGTCTTATTTGATAAAACGAAAAGTATTTAGTTTGCATAGCATTTTAAAAAACAAGAAGTCATTAATGGTAGCATTAATGATATCGTGTGTAATAATAAGGTCTCATATTGAAATTAAGTACTCACCAATTATTTCAATTAATTATATTTTAAAATAGATATATTTTGGAAATTAGGCTCTTTTGTTGATGGGAGAGAAGAATAAATAGGGGCCAAATATATATATATATAAATTTAGAGAGAGAAAGAGAGAGAGAGAGAGAGAGGAGATGGATGTGAGCTTAAAATTGTCAATCTTCTAGAGTGAGCATAAGAGATTATGTGGATTAGATATCTCCAATGATGTGGATGCCTTTGGTATCCATAATTTTTAAAACAAGGATTTAAACTTGATTTGGTTCATTCTAATTATGGGCGTCTAATTTGATTTAGCTCATAGAAAATATGGTATTAAAATTATTTGATCCCAAATCTTAATCCTTATTTGGTTAAGTCCCACTAATGTTGAGATCTGATTTTATCATGGACAAATGATATGCTCAGTTGACTTGGCTTGAATAGATGCTTGATAATGTGTAATAAGATTGGGAGCTTGAAGACATCTAAAGGCATCACGAAAATAGGTTTGAGGGCATTTGAGGGCTGCTCTTTGACACGTTTGGTATTGTGAGGCTAGAAAGGATGCACTATTATAAATTGTCGTTTGAGGGTTAGTCATTATAGTTATTTAAAATAGTGCAACCATTGGGAGATGCTCCCATTTGTTAGTCTAAACAATAGAAAGAAAAATTTCCAAATGCTTGTACACTATTCTGGGCAGATGGGTTGTGTTCAACCTCCTCTTCTAGTCAATAAAAAAGAATTCAAAATAAATGAGAAGACCAATTATTGAAGCCAATATTGTGCATATAAAATAACTATGGGCCTCCTTTATGCAATGCTTCCTACTGCTAAGTTGATCCTAGTAGATGTAGAAACTTTTCATGGGTTTACTTAGATAGTCAGCTAATGAAGATGAACGGGAGATAATCTTTTATGCTGGGAGTGGTTACTTGACAAAGCAGGCCCACTATTGATTACGCACATGACCTTAAGTGTTGCCCACTCCATCAATATTTATACCTCTATGTTTGCATTCAAGAAGCATTAGGGTAAGAAAATTTTGAGCTCCACATTGGTCATAGTGAAACACAAGTAGAAGCCCAATTTGATATTTTTGAGCTGTATTCATGTGTTGATGTCTCAATAAGTCCAAGGAACTGATCTTCCCAAATTAAAATAAAATAAAAAAGGTAAAGATACTTCATCTTTCCCTACCCCAGAATAAAAATGAGCGGAATCTCATATTTGGCACTAAGAGCGGAGTGATGGAGACTCCATTAAACTTCAGCTTGGGTGGATTTAGGTCACAAGTAGACCTACCTCATTTGAGAACCTCTCCTGTGGTATCTTTTCTAGTGAGGCTCGATTCATTCAGAGTCATTTTTAGGGTGTTATTTGGCAGTCCAACTTAGAATCAGCTGACATCGATTGGGTAGAGCTCATCTAGAAAATTGCATGACTTTATATGCCATGTCTAAAATGAGACCACTCTTTTAATAGCATCACAAGTACGTCCTAACTTGGTAGAACTGGTGTGCATTCTTCTTGCTAGCTTTTCTTGGACTTGTAAAAATAGATCATGTCCACGTTTAGAATTTTTGATCAAATGAATATTTCTAAAAATATTTGGCTGAATGCTACTAACGGACAATTGTAGCTTAATCTACACAGTGCCTTACTCAATACAGAATTATCTCCATTCGACTTAAAAATGAATAATTATTCCTTGACGCAGTTCTACGCATCCATGTATAGGCGGATCGGATCGCACGGTAAAGTCAACGTCGGAGTGTCAGATATTTTCAGTTTTAGTCCCCTAGAATATCTAAGATAAAAAAGAAAATGGCATTTTAGATTTTAGTCAATGCTTTCCCTATCGCACTAAATTTTGTCAGTGGTATTGACGCCAACGCTGCGAAGGGTGGGGACAGGTAGATATTATGATGCCAGGGATGAATAAAGCCACGGGTGTGGTCTTCCCTCGGGCACAGGTAAGTCCTCTCCATCGTCCTTTTCTTCCTTATCACCTCCCTTCCGCTCCCCTTACCGGGACATCAGGAATCCCACATGGAGGTCTGGAATCTGGTCATCGTCTTTCTCGCTCTCTACCTCTCTCTCGCCTTCCTCCGCCGCAGGAGGTCACGAACCCTATCCTACCCTCCCGGGCCTCCGGCCTTTCCTTTGGTGGGCAACCTTCTATGGCTCCGCCGCCCCTTCTCTGAGATCGAGAGCATCCTCCGTCGCCTCCGCCTGGAATACGGGCCCATCGTAATGATCAAAGTCGGCTTCCTGACGCCTGTCTTCGTGTCCGACCGGGACCTCGCCCATAAGATCCTCGTTCAGAGCGGCGCCACCTTCGCTGGCCGCCCTCCCGTTGGGCCAGCCACAAGCTTACTCACTGGTAACCAGTACAGCATCAACGGCTTGCCCTACGGGCCTCTCTGGCGTACCTTACGCCGCAACTTGTCCGCCGAGATCCTTCATCAGTCGAGGATTAGGTACTTCTCTCGCGCCAGGGACTGGGTCCTTACAGTCCTTCTGGACAAGCTCCGCATGGAGGCTGACACTGGGGAGCCGGTGATGGTGGTGGAGAGCTTTCTTTACGCCATGTTCTGCCTGCTCGTCTTCATGTGTTTCGGGGAGAAGCTGGAAGAGAAGACTGTTCGGGAGATCGAGAGGATTCAGCGTGATATCCTCCTCTACGTAGACAAGCTCACAATATTTGCTTTCCTCCCCAAGATCGGCAAGTATCTGTTGAAAGATCGATGGAGGAAGATCGGGGATATGCGTAGGCGACAGAAGGACGTCTTCCTCCCCCTGATCAGAGCCCGCCAGAAGTGGAGGGATCAGGGGATGAGCAGCTGTGGAGAGAACATCCTCGAGTTCTCGTACGTGGATACCCTTCTCGACATGGAGGTCCCCGATGGAGAGGGGAAGAATCGGAAGCTCAGGGACGAGGAGATCGTCAGCCTCTGCTCTGAGTTTCTGAACGCCGGCACCGACACTACGGTGACCGCGCTGGAGTGGATCATGGCGAACGTGGTGAAGCGCCAGGACATGCAAAAAAAGCTGTTCGAGGAAATCATCGCCGTGGTCGGCAAAGTGGAGGCGGTGGAGGAGGAGGACCTGGGCAAGCTTGCCTACCTCAAGGCCGTGGTTATGGAGGGGTTGCGGCGGCACCCGCCAGGCCATTTCCTGCTGCCTCACGCAGCCATAGATGACACGGAGGTGAACGGGTACGTCATACCGCGCAGCGCTCCCCTCAACTTCATGGTGACGGAGATGAACTGGAACGGCGACGTGTGGGAGAACCCAATGGAGTTCAGGCCGGAGAGATTCCTCCCCGGCGGCGAGGGGGAGGGCGTGGACATAACCGGAAGCAAAGAGATAAAAATGATGACTTTCGGGGCGGGGAGGAGGATCTGCCCCGGGCTGGCACTGGCGGTGCTCCATCTTGAGTTCTTCGTGGCCAATCTGGTGAGGGAATTCGAGTGGAAGGAGGTGGAAGGGGAGCAGGTGGACATGACGGAGAAGGTGCAATTCACCGTCGTAATGAAGACCCCTCTGAAGGTTCGGCTCTTTCCTCGCTCTGGGTAAGTCGGAGGGCCACACACGTCGCGTTTCCCGCTTCTTTCTTGTCTTTGTGCGTCAGGCCAGCTGTCTGAAAGCTGCCTAGTGTTGTTTGCATTGGACGAGTAGCATTTGGTTCCATTTCGTCTCTTGGCTTCCTCCAGAGACACTTCGGAACCTCGGAACCAGATGTGAGGGCGGAACTTGATTAAATAAATGTTCACAATGATGAAACGACTCATGAAGCACTGTCCAGAGTATTGTTGATGAAATTAGACTATTGTCATTTTTTGATATTTTATTTTTATGTTAATTAAGACATTTGATGGACATATTTTGTGACATTGCAATATCATTAATCATGATAGAGTTTATCGATGGGAAATTTATTCTTAAACTGAACTTTGTTGAACATACAATTATCATTACTTTCTAAAGATTTTGAGTCCTTTCTACACTTTAAAGATTCTAGCTCACTTTAACCAATTGAAGGAAGACATTCTCATGTAGGCATAATAGCAATCAATAGGGAGTAAATTGATCACTTTTATGAGGATCATAGAATAGGTTGACTCATTATGGCCCTATGCAAATAAGGTCTTTTCATTGTGAGTTCTAAGTACATTGAAATTAAGATTTCCTTAGCCCTTATTCTGAATCCAATTTTAAAGAGCTTCCCCCTTAATATTTAGTACTCCTCTAAAGCACACAAAGCATGTGACATCAATTTTCTACTATGCATCTATATGCGTGGCTCTAAATGAACCAAATACTGAATCTTTAGTGATAATTTTCTATTATACATTTACAATAGAAAAGATACCTAGGTAGTTACAATACTTTTATATAGTTACACAATTATACTTCCAATAAAATAAATGATAGGTGGGTAGATAATTTTTGTAAATTCTTGAAACTTACTTTTTGGCATAGAAATATGTTAAAGCTAGAATTTTTATTTTAAATAGTTTATTATTTTTCTTTTATGTGTTAATTTGTAGAATAAATATATTAATATATTATTAAATTAGGAAATCTGAAGTTAAAGGACAACTTAATTTTTGGTTATTAGAAAAATATAAGAATAAAATATAAAAATATTGTTGCCTATTGGCAAGCCAACACTCAAAGTTGACTCGAAGGGACATTACACTCGAGTGGGTGGGTAGACCTAGACTGAGGGAATCATAACTTGGACTCGAGTGACAAAGGACTTGTTTCGCCTATGTATGTATTACTCCCCTACCACATCTCAATTGCCAACTAGTCATGGAATAAGGAGTGTCATACACGTGTGTGCATGAGGGCAGACCACCTATTACCTTCTCCCAAGATGGTCCTAAGTATTATTTTATTTAAGAGAAGAGATCTCTAGTTAGAGAGTGTAACTTTGATACATATTTAGTTCAATCTCTCAAATACGTTTGATGTGAGACTAGACTTTATCATATGTTTCAGTGTTGTTCTAAAGTGTGATGTGATCTACTAGTGTTCAACTCACTATATTACTAGATAAAGTAGATCTTGTGACTAGTGAACCACCACAATACCCAAAACATGAAGTATTCCATTGATAGTTCACAAATCCTACATCACTCAAGACATATGTGATGAGAAATGATGTTTTGATGATGAGAGAAGTATCACAGTATCAAGGACTTAAGTTTCGGTTGGTAGTGTTTTGTGGTAGATTAATCTTCTATTGCTCAACACGTCAAGTGACCAGGTATATTTGATTCCATAACATGCAAAGCACTATGATACTAGCAACCTAAGTTTTCGCATGTATCCGAGTTAGGAATATATAGATAATAATTTGATGATTATCTAGTAAAATATATATTATTGATTATCTTTAAAAACTTGAAGATAGTCATTCCTTCCTCCTTTTCGTGCAATCAATGTTTCTAGTGATCGATAGACTCATCCTTATTTCCTCAACTATACTCAAAGCCTCTAATAGGTGGTCAGTTCTTCCCTTCTCCCCCTAGATGATAATGACAATGTAGTCAACCCCTTTCTTTGAAAAATCTCTTTGGCAATTAACAGAGCTCTTTTAGATGATACTTTTGCGACTTCTAGTGTGGTGTGGCATGTCTAAATGAAATTAAGCTGCCACACAAGTGTCTCCAATTGCCTAGGAGGTAGACTAATATAGACTGATTTCTTTCTTATTTTCAACATTTACTTACATACCTTTTGTATTTATTTATGTTTTACAGTAAGTTATTTCTATTTCGTACATGTTTTGACATAAATGAGTAGAATTGAGCAAAAACTTAATCAATGATCTTCTTTCCTCTTTTAAATCCTCTAAAACTCATATGAGATCAAGCTAAGATCATGTCCAACTTATTTTCTATTGATTTTTTCAGTCAAATATTGAAAACTTTATATTCTCAATGTTTTGTGAATAATGAGTTTTTTTTTAATTTTCAAATGTAAAAGTGAAATTAAAAGCTGACCTCATGAGCATTGAAGTGCTAAAACAAGACAAAGATATTTACAATTGACCTCATATCATGTGTGTGAATTTTCAAACACAAATTAGTCTGATAAATTTGGTCAACTCAAGTTATGTGTGCAATTAAATTACGGTAGAAAAAGCTTATTAATAAGTCTTTATATAGTTTTAGCCTTAACTCATGATAAATATATTTATATTTATGTTAAATTATAAAAAGTGGTTTTCAATTGATTAATGTATTTTTTGGCTAATTATGTGATTTTATATAAATTTATATAATTTTTATAATCTTGTTTGTGAGACAAATGAAGAAAAAGAAATTAACATAAAAAGATAGAAAAAGGGGGGACCCATTGGCTAGTCGGGCTTGCAAGCAAGTCGGAAATGCAATTAGGCAGAGCTGTGAGTAGGGGTTCGAGCAGCAAACGGTGACCGATTGAGGGCATGTGTGCTTCACTTCCCTTCCATGTCACCAATGGGTAGCCAAGCATGGGGCAAGGAGTAGTCGTACACATGTGAGAAAAGGGGCTCATTGATTTCCGAATCTTGTGTTACTATATATTCATCCTAAAATTCGGTATATAATCAATGTGGGACTAAACCCAAGTCACACTTTCCCTAGAATGTTTTTGATAATTTTAATATCAAAAATACCCCTTATTTATAACAATGAGATATCATGATGATGTCACTATATAAGGGTATTTGAGAACTTATTTTCCTCTCTCTCATGTAGGTAGGCACCCGACGAGGATTTAAATCCTACTAGAGTCAAAACACACATTTTTATCTGATTAAATCTTGATTTTCTTACAAATTGTCAGTGAAAGATTAAGCTATCAGAATCACTTAATCATCAACAAAAATCTCGTCAATGCGATTCATAGAGCATCATTACTAAAATTGAGTAAATCATCTTCGATTGATTGATGAACAAGCCTTCTTGAAAAGAGGTTGATCTACCAAGAGATGAGTCATCTCCTCTTGCTGCACGGATATGAGGATGAAGCTTCTTAACATATACCTCACCTCCATTCAGCTCCTCTCTATTGGGTGACAATTATTAGAGAACTACACAGTCTTCATTTTTTTGTTTTACCTGATGACAACCACTGAAGATGATTTGATAACTCATTTCATTGATCTTTAGACTTCGCAAGAAGATCTAAAAATTACTTACATCATCTTTGTCCAAAGAGAACTTGCGAGACTATGGACGTTACACAACAATCCTCTCGAATGCTCAAGATTTTGATGCATTGTTGACGCATCACTACCGTGACGCTGTTACTCTATCTTTCTTACTTTTAACTTAATTTTTGCTTCATATAGAAATAATTTGTGTGATTTAAAATTTTCAAACTACTTTATATTCAATTATGATTCTTTCAACTTTTATGGATCTTAATTTGAGCAATTAAATCGTTTGTAATCACTTATGTAAGAATTGTCAGATAGAACTCTATTTTTACCTGATTCGCATTCGTTGGGTGATGACATCATCTTGCTGTTTGCACTCTTATTTCTTCTTTTTTTCATAAGTTTTAAATAAACTTTTATTTTTATTCCTTAGTCTAAAATTTGTAATAAATCATATTATTTGAAAACGATTCTGAAATATTACTTGATATTATATTACATCCCTTTGATCGACCTAGAAATTTTTTATTATTTGTAGAACTTTTATTGAATTATAATTGATATATTATTTAGAAATACTTCTAAATATCTAAAAATTAATATTTTTTAGTGTTATAAATTTAAAATTTATGTGATTTACTATATAGTGACTAAGTCATGTCAAATTTTGGTATTGTTGCTGGGGATGTATTACATAATATTTGATATTTTTCTATTTTTTTGTTAGAGTACACAAAAATTGAACTCTTGTTTTTATTTTCTTCTTGCTGAAAACTTAAAAAAATAATAATGAAGAATTATAGTAATATTACATTTGTAAGTAAGTCTTTTTTTCCTACGTGTATGATCACTCCTTACCCCATAGTTGGTTGACCACTAGTGAGGTGGATAAGAAGTGGCACCCATGTGTCCCTATCAATCTTAACCACTCGAGCCCCTACTCATGACTCCTCCTTGACTATGCTTCTGATCCGTTTGTGGGCCCAGCTGGTCGATAGGTACCCCCAATTTTATTCTATTTTAAATTTTATTTCTTTTTCTTCATTTATCTCAAAAGTCACACTATAAAAATCATATAAATTTGTATAAAATCACATAATTAGCCACCAATTCACATTAATCAACTAAAATTTTCACACTTTAACATAAATATAAGTCTATTTATCATGAGTTAAGGCTAAAACTATATAATTTACTAATTATTAACTCATGATAATAAAAACTTATCACATTGATTATTATTTTTTCAAATTTATTAATTTTTATACATGATAAAAGATCCTTACAAATAAGGCTAGAAAATCTTTTCATTATTTCATCTAAAACTAAACATCTAAAAGAAAAATTAATTTTGATAGATCTTGAAGGAAGTAGATGACAAATTGAAAACAATCATTATATCCTTGATTGATTTCAATGA